AATGGTATTCTTGAGTTGCTTTTACAACAAATTCGAATGTAAGCGATAAAAAAATTTTATCCATTCCATTGAATTGTTGTATTTCTGAGTTTCTGTCTCCACTTCTTTGACATAAGTCATCGTTACTCTGCTTTTTTGTGGGGTGAGCTGATCGGAAATTACGCAATAGGCTTACTTTTTCGGATGCTTACATACACTTTATCCGATACTCCTGTTTACGTGAGTACGTCACTGCCATCAAGAAAAACTTAATGACAAGATTGCCGTTCTCTGCGTCTTATAGGCAAACAGCTTCTGATATGAGTCATATACATACTTCCAATTAAGGATTAAGTGACTCTAGTAGGATTTTCTGTAGTGCTTTTGCAGCCCTTGCAGCTCTGCTTTGCAAATTTTTTTCCACGTTTTCTCATTCGCATAAAAATCTTAAATCCTAAGCTACGCACTCTATATCTTTCTAATCTCCTAACTGCGCACAAAATAGCAAATGATTTGACAAAAACGGATCACTATCATTTGTCATTATCTCCCCCCCCCCCCTCCCCTCCCCCCCCCCCTCCTCTCTCCCGGCCCCGTTTTGGGAATGACGACAATGAAGCTTTGCAGGAGCAAATTCTTTCTCGCTCCTCTTCCCCTTCCCTCCATATTTTCGGTTTTATACCTAGTTAATAGAAAGTGTCCATTCATTTACTTGTTTTGTTTACTTATACTGAGTATTTGAGTTAGTACTACTGTTTATGCATATCGTGGGAATAAAATACCGAATGTGTAAAGTTATTAGGATATTCTATTACTTAATTGTCCTAACACTATTCGTTTTTTGGGTCTTGTCGACGTCATAGGGCTCAAAAACGTCGAATATGTAGTTACAACAAATTTTCAATTATGTATTACCAAAGGAAATGTTGACGTTTCCCTAGTTGAAGACTAAAAATTCTACAAGGATAACCTACCAAAGCAACAACCTCACTGAATATTTCGATTTTTAAAACTGATTATGCTTTTACATTTCATCTCTTAGCAGTTCTTTGTGCTCTAGGTAATGGTTTTGAGTTTAGAAGCTCGTCTTGAAAAGTCCAAGACAAAGCAATTATGAATCCATCATTAGACATTCTTACGTTCATTCACGTCGTACATTCCGTAGAGCATTTTCTTTCAGAATTATTTCTGCATAATGCGCATAAAGTATAAAAATGATGTACTTCTCTTAGTACATACTTTCTTCAAGGTGAATGGTTGCTATATTTCATGTGTTTATTAGTAACATCTATTTTATGACTAGGAGGCACCAGACCGCGTTGCGGGGGAGACGGTCTTTTCGCACGGGCCGTCTCCAGAGTCTCCCTGATTTTGACCTGTCTTAACATGTTATGCACGCCGCAAATCTTTCCTCCCCCTGTTTTGCTTAGGCAAAAGCCGCCGCAGGGTGTGTCGCGCGGGCGGTGGTCCTGTGTGGAAAGCATTACGGTTGTGCGAATCGTCCTACACCCCGTTGCGGGCATTGTCTTGACAAGTTAGTTTGTTCTTCCCTGTTAATAAACAGTGAATAAACATGGACGAGATAAATAACAAGTATAAACCTGCTAAGTACATAATTAGGCTTGATTAGACAATGTGTGAAATGCGGTCCCGTCTCTCTAAGTCATTGAATGAATGACACATTTTCTGCAGACTTTTTTCCTCGAAACCTATTGGAATTTGTAAATGGAGCCATCGTGGTGTATTTTGGCAAGACCATCGGGTGTTATCTCTGTATTCTCACAATATCACATACATAACTACTTAATTACTCTATTTTTCCATTCACGCATATACGAGGGTCCTTCGGGGAAAACGATCGGTAGATAAACGCTGCCAAGGCTCGGCATAGGTGGCTTATGAGCAAGCTGGATATCGTTTTTGGGACAAAAGGCAGAGGGTGTTTCGTTTCTGTGGCTGAAAATACACAAAATTTGCGATGTTTTTTTTCTTTTTGGTCGACGTTCCGTTTTTGGAGATTTTTTTAGGGATTATGGGCTAGGGTCAAAGGGGACTTCATAAAAATTCGCAAAAGTCAAAGAAACTTTGTTTTTTGCACTTTCGACTAGCCATGTTTTTTGCACTTTCGACTAGCCACCCCGTGCTGAGCCCTGGCTGTAGAATTAATCGCCGATTTCCAGGTATAGGGTATAATTTTACTCTCTTACTAACAAGCATTTTACGTTTGCGTTTTTTTTTCAAATTTTCTACAAACTTCACGGTTCTTTATCCATTTCTTCTAAAGGATCCGTTTTATTTTATCCTACCGCAATTGTAAGAACATCCAATCTTTCATTTTGACTAAGGGTAAATTCTCCTTCATGCAAAATACTTTGTTATCAGTGAACCAGTAATCTCAAAGGTGCTATATTGCAGGCGCTCGTTTCGGGACCCGCTCGGTTTCCCCCTATGTGTTGATTTTTGAATGCGTTTTATGATTCTTTATATACTAGATTTGACCAGAGTACGTGAGCGTGATAGAACTTGCTGATGTGCGAACACGTTGCACTTTTTTACTAATCCAAAAAAGCTTAAAACGAAAGGAAATCTATCGACTGTACTCTAAAACTTCTTCCGGTTGAGCTTTTAAAACCAGGGTTATTTCACTGGCATAGTAGTGCACTTTACCAGCACTAAGCTAGAATTTTACGCTAGCCATGGTCTTTACATTCTTTTCATAGCTGAAACCCTATGAGCAGCAAAGTGTAAGCTTTCGATTTTGTCTCCATTTGCCCATTAACAATATTGTTTGGAGAAAATATTCTGCAGAGATTTATTCAAGCGAGCATATTTCCTGCCTAAATCCAAAGTAAATAAACCGGTGATTTCGTAGCTTGAAGAAAAAGAATTTATTCACATTGTCCACGTAAGCTGTAGGAAACCTAGATTACTAGGTTGGGAAAATTTCTTTTTTTGCTTGTTCTCTTCAATACTGAAAAATTTGAGCAGTTTTCTTCTAGGTATTTAGATGACAAGATCATGGCTACCGGCATAACCGATGCTAAGTCGAATATAGCAAATTTACTGCAGTTCTAAAATCGTAGTTAACCTGCTCTATTCTTTGAATTCTTTTCATCTTTTGATGGTCTATGACTTTTTAAATTTCATTTCGAATTCGCCCTCCTATGGCGGCAGTTTGCTTCTAGCATTTCATAAAAAATCGAAAAATAAAATACTTCTAAGATTTTTGAAAAACACTTCACATGTGCATTCTAAGGAAAGCTTAAGAAACAATTTGAAAAAACTTTTGAGGAAGTTTTGCTTTGTAAAGTAAATAAAATCAAAGGGTAGTGAAAATCATCGGCCAACTAGTGTATCCAATGATTATAAAATAAACATCAATCAAAATAATGTGCTTAGCATGTGCTAAAACGCCTTTAAATTCTCTGTTTTCCACTAAGCTCTCTAGATTCGTTCCCGCAACAAAACCAACAATCATGTTTCAAAATCTTCGCGGATATAGTTGAAGTTTAACAAGGCAGAAATGCAGTAAAAATTAACAGTTAGGGCCGAGACTAATTCACAAGAAATTTTGAATTTTGAGTTACCTGTCTACTTTTGCAGGAAGTATCAACATAATCTTTAAATACATAGAGTGTGTTCAGCCTCTAAAATGTACATGCCCATCTCTCACTTTCTTCTTATTTCTATCGAACAATTCTACAATTTCAAAACATTTGGTTCTGCCACTTTGAATAGAAACTGGATTTACAACAGCTTTTACTTCTTCACAGCTACAATTTCACTCGTTTTCGAACAATTCATGTTATCTCTAGGAATTTCGCTTGTGAGTACTAAGAAGCTTTCTGGCAGCATGATATGTGTGTATCCTTGCAAGAGCTTATTTTTATTTGAATTATAGGAAACATCTTACATCATTGACCTGGCGAAATCAAGAAGTTTTTAAGGGGAGAACGATTTTTCCATAAGAGACCACCTGCAATATATGTCGAAAGGAGCCATTTCGGGTCGCCATTGCCAGAATGGACTAGTTACTGCTCACGAGCAAGTTTCTAGACTCCAAACGTTTTGAAAATAAATCAAAAAGTTTAACGGCCACTAATGTTTAGAAGCTGTTTTTGCAACATCTCGCTGATAGGCGCTAATACTTGTTTCTATAAGACACTTTGGCTTTATTATGCCAATGTTTTGATATTAGAGCAATCCGGAGTTACGGAATTAATCCAAGGTTTTTTCTAATTGCGTACACAATTCGTACAAAACAGTTATTTGTGTGTCTGATCAACCACTTGCAAAATGGCTTGAGCTATGGTGAGCTGAATATTTGAATGTTAGAATCGCTCTCCTAGTCGTTACTTCTGTTACGAAATTTGTTGACTAAGACTCAATTACTAAGTAGGCAGATTATACTTCTTAGTCGTCGAATTCACGTCATGGTATCCTTAGAAACTCTTTGGACGTCCTTCCCCCGCTCCGACATTTCAATTTGATGAATTGTTTTGAATATAGGGAGAGAAATATTGACACATAAACAGATTTTTTTGCGGGGCAAGAAATTTTCGAAATCTTAGGGCTCTTAAACTAAGAAAATTGCCCTTTCCCAAATCCTAAGCATATTTTCCATATATCACATGCTATTTCTTATTCTTTTACGCAATGTCATGTTACCCCTGTGATGATTATTATATTTTTTTTTTCATATGAAGACCCTGCCCAGAGCTTGTCAGCTTCCCAAGCCTTGGCGCTTCGTCTATGAAGCTAAGAGATCGATCTCCGAAGCCTTCTAATAGCTCCGTCATGTTATTCAACTCATCTTCAAGTTTACGGGGAAGTGCTAGGCTCGCCTCCACCCCCCCCCCCCCCGCCCCTCCGATATCAGCTAATACAAATTAGCATCGCAAAGTCGACTCAACCATTGCATTAGCGATTACGGCGATCGCTCTCACCTACTCGCTTTCATATCCGTAGTGCGCATAACTGGTTAACGTCTGTGTAATCCGGCTCTCGACTGACTTTTGCTCGGATCCAGGTATGGACAATGAAGAGGATGCGTCATGCTATATGGTCGAGGAGAAAGCCTTCGAGTACGACTATGATGAGGGATTTGACTGGGAGAATATGACCGCATCACAATGCAATTGCTCACATCCATTGCACAAATTTCTGGAGGTAAAATTATCACTTTTAGAGAGAAAAATGATCTACTTAGTTTGACAATCTCTCCAACATTAGAGTTGTGGAAAATGGTAAATTTTGATCAGCTATCGTGAATTCTGGTTCGAAATTTTTTTGCTGAATATTTTTCTCAGTATTTTCCCATTTATTCTGCTATCAAAATAAGGAACAATCTAGAGTTTATGTGAGATTTTGACGCATTATTATACCATGATGTAGAATTATGTCTCATATGGTGTGCTAGATAAATATGGCTGATAATCTTAAATATTATGGAGATAATTTTTGAAGTCATGCAAACTAACTTTCTATGATTTTCAACGTTATCAATACTATTTTGTGGGTAAACTACTCTTGAATTAGTTTGCACTCCTGCTAACAATCGCAGTATTACGCAGCTTCAGACATGAAGCTCTTTATTCAGATGTTCATGTCATTTTTTGAATTAGTGCGAATCAAATAATGAACAAGTGACTGTACTTTTTCTGGCAAAATGCCAGTTGCCTTTCGAGCAGAATTTCTTGAATAAATTTTCATATCAGAATCTTTCAGGTCTGCGCAACCAGATGTATTGCTTTGCCCAACACGCTATTGTTTGGTCTAACCGAAGAAGAATTATTCGAAGCTGCATTACCAGCACTTATGTACCTCATCGTGTTTCTTGTTGGAACTGTAGGAAATGCTATGGTAATCATTGAAATCAAGTATCAAAGGGGTTGCTAAAAATGCTGTTGCTTTTGTTTTATAAAATCGACGAAAAATCTAAGAAATGGAACAGTTTGGTTCCTGTTACGCCCACTTTTGTCTGTTTGAAATCGAGAATGGGCGTGGCTGTAAAATCGATTGTTTTCCCTAATTGACACAATCACCAAGTGTGGCTTAGTGACCCCATGCTTATTTTCTTCTTCATATATGATTTTTGCAGATAAAATTTATTTGATCTTTTTTGGCAGTTCTGCGAACAATGATTTATAAAAATTCATTGTATTAATAATTAGCAAACATTCTTGCTTTTAGGTTATTTTCGTTGTTAATCGCTTCAAGCGAATGCGGAACGTTACCAATGTCTTCTTAGCCTCGCTCAGTACTGCCGATTTGTGCTTAATTTGGTTTTGTGTCCCTATTATGGTAAGATTTATCTGTGCACTTCGTTTATCAAAACAATCTGAATTCTCTTTCAGTTCGTAAAATATATGTCTCACACTTGGTTTATGGGTCGATTTGCATGCTATTCAGTGCATTACATCCAACAATTTACTTGTTTCTGCTCAGTTCTCACTATGACTATGATCTCATTTGAAAGGTTTGTTCCACTATCTTCTGCAAATGCAGACTAACTTACTAATTCTATTTAGGTATCTAGCAATAGCCTATCCAATGCGAAATATGTGGCTATCGTCCATAGGTCGAGCCAAAAAGGTATCTAGAATTATGATTTTTCAGTGGGCTTTTTAAACATTTTACTTTTAGGTGATCCTGCTCATATGGTTAGCTTCTGCTATTCTAGCTATACCGACAGCAATTCGAATTGACTATGAAACCAATATTTCCTTATCTGGACAGAGAGTACACTGGTGTCGTCGGAGGTCAGTTGAACTTACCATCTTACTATAATAAGGCTTCCTGACAAAACTACGTAAACATTCTCAATAACAGAACTTATAGGTTTCCCAATGGATTTCTGGGATACTCGCGGATAAAATTAAATAGGATTTATGCCGTTTATCAGGTAGCTATTTACTCTAATCAATGTCGACGTAATCAATGCTTCCAATATCTTACCCATGAAGACCATTAGAGTTCTGGAGATATAGGAGGTCTTTATTAGGTAAAGAAATCAAGTTCAAAAATTTTAACTGTTTTATTTTCTAAAGATTTATGATAAGGTTTATTATATGTTTAGATTTGCATCTTCATCATATCCAATATCTATATTTTAATAAAATTACGTAGAATCACAGCAATGGTGTGAATCAAGGGAACTAAAGAGCATAGCGCGTATCTCCGCGGCAAAATCCTCCCAAATGATTCTGCCAGCTGCCTCCAACAGTTGTTATCTATTATTTCCTTTCTGTAGGAGAGAAGTTTCCAAAACTGAATATTAACGCGATATTCGGAAATTTACTTGTCGCGGCTCGCGCGATGCAAGCCACTCCTCGAAACAGGAGGCCGAGAGCGCTGGCTATCGCGTTACTTGGCGCGCTATCAATTTCGCGCCAAGACCTCTCCCTTACTGGGCGCGTTGCCAAGTGGCGGGGTATATAAGGGCGCGCAGGCCGCGGTCTACGCCTCTTCGACTTTCGTTCGTTATCGATCGTTTGATGATATTTCCATGCTGGCAGCTCCTCCAGTAGCTCCCGCAGATGATCATCGGTTTCGAGCGGTTGAGCCCCTGCCGATCTTCTTGTGTTTGGACCGCGCAGCTTAGTATCATCGTTTATCGCGCAGGAAGAAAGGATTGCGGGAGTGAGAGGGGTCACGCCGTCCCGTATGGGCCAGGGGCTTGCGGTTGACCTAACGGAGGACCCGGAACTACATGTTGGATATGATCAGGGTTGAGCAAGAGGTCAGGCGCAAGGCTACCAAATACGACCCCCCCCTGGTTGTGCCAAAATACGACCCCCCTCCTCCCCCCCCCCCCCCCCACCCACCCACCTCTACACCCTTCTTCTCTGTGTACATTTTTACATTACAAAATATTTATCAAGTGCAACAGATTTTCAAAAAAAAATCCAAAATCCAAAGTCATATTAAAAATTTCGTGCTTCTTGCGTTTTTTATACTTTTGAGACATTTACAGCTCATTTATCATTCCTGGTAAGTTGAAGTGCATCTGACAGTACTAGTATGCTTGAGGTAAATCAGAATGAGATTGCTCTGCAGGCTCCGCTGCTCCATGCCTTTGACTGCCACTTCTCCATTGTGATATCTGTTAATATGTTCATAGGATGCGTGCTCTGCAGTTTGGACGCAATGAGTAGTCAATTTCGAAATCATACTCTCAAACTGGCTCTTTTACTGAACATTTGCTGAGTTTTCAATCAAGTCTTGTTTGCATTTTTTGCAAATGAAAGATGGTTCTGTAAGAGTTACCTCCGTGAAGGTTGGTGCGTTGGATCCACATCTTCGACAAGGTTCTCCTGTTGACACAGAAGCAGATGCAGATAAGCAGATGCACCTAAAGAAACGGCCATAAGTTGTCGGCAACGGTTGCCGAGGTTGCCGTGTTGCCGGTTGTTGTAGGACCACATGATTGCCTCCACGTTCTGCGCTTTCTAAGCAGTCTCTGGCCCCGGCAAACAGCAACGTCGGCAACCCCAGCAACCTCGACAACCGTTGCCGGCAACCTATGGCCGTTCCCTTAGGCCCCGGACAGACTTCACGCGATTTGATCGTCGCAGACTTCACGCGATTTGATTGTCGCGACTGAATCGCGACGAGACAATTGTTACAACATCATTCCATGCCGACCAACTTGCATTTCGGTTGTGATACTTTTCCAGCCCGAAATTTTTGAATGTGAAATGAAAATGAATGGAAATGTCGGCGATTGAGTCGCGACGATCAAATCGCGTGAAGTCTGTCTGGGGCCTTAGGTGCATCTTCGACCCACTAATACAAGTATAGATGTATAAATGTGATGTAAAAATCAAAGGTGCAAGAAAATGTTTTCGAGTAAGAAAGTAGATCATTTTCGCAGAAATAAATGATACTGACCTTGCTTCTGTGTCAACAAGAGAACCTTGTCGAAGATGTGGATCCAACGCATCAACTGAATCACGGAGGTGGTGATCATTACTCTTCCAGAACCATCTTTCAGTTGTAAAAAATGCAGACAAGACTGGTTGAAAACGCAGCAAATAACTGAGAAAAAGCCAATTTGAGAGTATGATTTTGAAAATGACTACCTACCGCAGATTATAAGCATGAAAGAGGAAAAGAGGACTTACATTGCTCATTGGGATCGGCTTGGACAACTCGCTGATGATATTGGTGTTATCCACGTTATTTCCAACTTTATACCTTTCGTGGAGATCTACTTCCTGTCAAGCTCTTTTTGTAGCGCGCTAAACAAAAAGAAATCAGCAAAAACACAACGGAACTTAAATAAACTGTTTCATGTATGAGAGAAGAGATAAATCAACAAATCCTTAGCTAAACGAACGAAACTCACCGGCAGGCATAATTTTTGGGGTCGTTGTCACCAGCTACAGCGACAACAGGTGGAGTTGAGGTATTATCCTAGAATAACAGGAAATCACGGCAATGCATCGACAACACATCATCAACTGCACACAAATAATCCATTTTAGTGTAAGCCTCGGACAGAGTTCACGCGATTTGATCGCCGCGATTCAATCGCTACAAGACAACGCTACGAGTTCATGGCATGCCGACCAGCTTGCATTTCAGTCGTGATACTTTTCCAGCTCGCAATTTTTGAATGTAAAATGGAAATGAACGAAAATCGCGGCGATTAAATCGCGACGATCTAATCGCGTGAACTCCGTCCGAAGCCTAAGGCACACCGATGTTTCCGCAAGAAAAAGAATTCTAGAAAAGAGGACTCTTACCTTTACGCTCGGTACCTTCTTCAACTCTTGAACGCAAAGGACCTTCCTTAGCGAATGGGCAATCGTCATCGTAGCGAGTTTCATTGGAACTCCCACCTAAAGTATGACACATAAGGATACGATATAGAGTATTAGCATTTAACGCTTGATCGACTAGAAGCGCTACCGATAATAACCTGTACGGAGAGCAAGACTACTGAGGCCATTGCTTAAGTTTTCAGAACAGCACATCTGAGATGACTGCGTTCAGTTCATGATCAACAAGCGTGAACAGGAGACTTTTCAGAAAAATAAGCCGTAAACCGAGGCCAGATAGAATTCCGAGAAAAGAACAATATACATGTGTACGAAGTAAGCACGGCCTTTTCAGAAAAAAAACTTGCGAAAACATGATCACAACAAAGATCAAAATAAAAAGACTAATTGTCCATATCTTTATTTGAAAAATTCAATGCATTTGTGGGGTCATTTGTGGAATTCTATGCATTTTTAATCTGTGTTGTGATCATGAGTCATAGAATAGAAGAGAATGGAAAAGAATGAAAACAATCACTCTATCTACCAACAGGTCAGAAAAGGAAAGTACAGGTGTAGTATTACGAATGAAGGAGATGATTAGAAGAAAATTCCTGCGGAGCAGTTTGAGGGTAAAATTATTGAGAATCGCGTTAGTCCAATTCTAACACGGACATGACACACTTTAAATGGAGGAGTAACACTGCGAAGCAGAACAGAAGGGAAGTAGGAAAAGGAAGGAGAAAAAACTTCAAGTTGGTGAGAGCCGGAATAGGGACGGAATAATGGAACGGTCGAAAAATGGAGTTTGCCGCTCGCATTCCGTGCAGAAACACAAGACGCGTTTTACAGTAGGGCGAAGTTAACTGAGCAAAAACGACCATCGTCTTCGGTGGATGAGTAGAATAAAACGCTGATAACTTTTTCAGGAGATGGTGAAATCGAACAAAATTTTGGCCTTGGAGAGAGAGAGGATAAATTAATCGTTTTTGTCAAAAATTGAAAAATTTTGATTGGTTCAAAGATAAGTTAATGTGGTCAGGCGCAACCCCTCAAAAGCTCAGGCGGCCTGAGCTTTTGAGGTGCTGCGCCTGACCTGATTAACTTTATCACCGAAGAAGCTTTTCCACCTCAGTTTTATATGATTCGCTAGCACAAACCTCGAAAATTCTGCAGCAGGTGTTTGAGCTCATCTCGACTTGTTTTAGCTTTGTGGTGATCGGTGGAGTTGAAGCACTCGAGGTAGGGAACGCGGTGACCCACATTTTAGCAGTACTTCTCAATCCATTATTTGAAAGCGATATGAAGTCTAATTCATACCGCAGACTGATAAAGAGCAATACTTTGCTATGAATGCTAAAAAGCTGACTTCTTTCTCTTTTGTGACCAAGTTAATCATGTTTTGAAATCATACTTTTCAAACGCTAAAAAGTATAATTGTTAATGGTTTGTGGAGCTCGTTGAGGTATTTTGGCATGCTGATCAAGGAAACCATACCCAACTTACATAAAAATCTTCTTTGGTGACTTTACGGTACATGTAATAGAAGAAGGAAAATTTGGCTGAGACTTCGTTAGTCGAGTCAATCAGCTGCTGTTCACGACAGTCATTTTCATCCTTTGATGGAGTTGTGGGATTTACGGTTTGACGCTTTTCTTCTTCAAATTACTCTATCGTAGCATTTCCTCTTTTCTGAACAAATTCGATTCTTGATTACGACCCCCCCCCCTTGCTCTTACCCCCCAATACGACCCCCAGGTCGGGCGCGCCTGACCCCACGCTCAACCCTGGATATGATCTTCTCGGAGCATCGGCAGCAGGGACGAGGCGACTCGTCCCGTGCTTATTTCCTTCTCTCGTAGTAGTAGTAGTCTTTTTAGTAGTTTTAGGTTTTTTAAGATTTGTTCTTATGTTTTAGTAAATGTGATTTAATCTAGTCGCGTTTGTGATTGTTTGTTTGTACGGGTAGGGGTGTAGGCGTCGAGCGGACGCGCTGGTGATGCGCACACCAGCGCAGAGGTGGAACACCCTGGAGTTCGGAGTTGTGTTGTCAGGCGGACGAGCATTAGGGCGAGGAGTGCTGAGCACACCGAGCAATATTACTTGTCTCAGAGTTATCCCATTGAATGATGCGTTATTTCCATTCTTCCTTCTGTTTTTCTTAAATACTTTAATTCTTGAAGGAAGAATGGAAACATTGCATCATTCGATGCAAAACTTTTTAATTCCTCCGTGAAGAAAAAGAAGGCCAAGATACTAATTTCTGATCTTGGAAACAGTGAAATTTGGGTTCTACCCCGGATCAGAATTATAGCATTTTTCGAAAGAAAAGGGAAAAATCAGAAACAGCAACAACCAAGAGTAATTACATGATACTAAAGGGAAACGTAGTTTAGACGCGTATAATATAGCTGTTATGGTTCACTCCGGGACAAAAGTGAAAGTAAAACACCGAAATTGATTAGTAAAAGACAACAAGACATTTGAAACAACGTAATAAATCTGCTTGAATTGTAAGACATCGAAATCATGAGTTATAGGAAAAAACAGTTGAATCACTGACTCAGATTATTTAAAATTATCGGAACCTCCAACGCACTTCCGCTTTTGAATCCTGTATCGAATTATCACTTACTTTCTGAATTTTCTTCCAGATGCTTCTTCTCATCGTCTTTCCCGTAGCCACGATGTCTGCCTGCTACGCCCGCGTCGCCATCATCGTTTATACTTCGTCGAAGAGTAGACTAGTGCTTTCACAGGCGATGTACGTCAGCCCTATAAGTCATTTCGCTGCTGTCATGCAACAGATGGCTTTTAGGGTGGCCTTTAGTAAGGCAGCCACTGACGCCGTGCACTTCTCCAGCTACAGTACCATCCCGATGATTTCGACCAGTCGCGAGCTAAAATCGGCAACCTGTACCATCAATGCTTACACCAAGCATAAAAGTGCCAGAGTAGCAGAGGCCAATAAAAAACAGGTAAAATTAGGAAAAAGTCGAGTACGAAAATACGAATATTGATTTCTAGATTGTGCAAATGTTAATATCGATTGTGGTCATGTATACGATATGCTGGATGCCAACCATAAGTACGTTTAACATTTTCCAGCTTTTACCTCCCTTCTGATTTATGGTTCTGTAGCTTCTGTTCTTTTCAGCACGTTTACTTCTCATCTGTTCATACCAAATGTCTCTTACTGATGACTCCTAAATGATTTCATAAACCGAGTTCGCCTTCTATTCCAGCAGAAACTATAATAGTAGGCAAGACACTGTAAAATCTACATATTTGCAGCACAGTTTTCGCAGCTTAATTTTTTTGCGCTAAATTGCAAGGCAAACAATGCCGAGCAATTCTATTATTTTCACATGCACTTTCAATGTTTCATGTTTGTCAAATTTATTTGATCTACGGCTTTTTTACAGTTATATTCAAATTTCTGAGCTATGAGGATCTCATATGTACGTAAATAACGAGATCACTTTATTTCAATAAGATCGCTTCGGTACTGGAAAAGAACGAATCTATGAGACAGAACTAAACGGCATGATTCGATATGAACCGTCGAAATTAAGCTGAGGCCTTTTGTTGAATCCATAGGATTTTCGGGCTTCAAGTAAGAGGGCAAAAATAACAGGGTGTCCCAAAAAGATGTGAACACCGTTTGGTTGTCAATAACTCTCTTGCCTTCATGTCTTTTGCCGAGCTTAAGGTACCATTCTGTAGAGCGAGGATAAACCTAGATTTACAGTATGGAGGGACTTATCAGCCGCTTTTTATTACTGTAGGATTACGGTAGGAATTTTCAGGAGGATTATAAGTAATGGAAAGCTGTATTTGCCTCAGAAAAAAGCCAAATAAGCCAGAAACTCTTGAACTCATCGTCAGTTAACTGTAGTGATTCTAAATATGAAAACTGCACGTCAGTACACTGTTTCTTTCATGAGTTATTTCAGATTTAGGGTAACAACTGATTTTCCAATGTTCAGAAATGTGAATACGCCATCAAGAAAGCTCGAAAAACTGATGGAAGGTTATGTAGTGAAATCAGCACGCCTGAAAACCTTGCTACACAATTTTTTAGATTTTTTTGAAATTATTTCATCAAAAGGCTTATCCCACAGTGATGCTGTATGCTGAAAGTTCATACCGTAATCCTACAGTAGCAAAAAGAGATTGGAGTTTCGCTTAATACTGTAAATCTAAGTTTATCCTCGCTCTACAGAATGGTACCTCAAGCTCGGCAAAAGACATGAAAACAAGAGACTTATCAACGATCAAACAGTGTGCACATCTTTTTGGGACACTCTGTATATAGGCTGAGACTTTTAGTGCTCAAAGTTGAGATGAATCTCCTGAGTACTAGATGTGACAATAATAAAAAATCTCGACTATAGCCTGTTCAATACTCATATTCTTACTTTCACCGTTGTATTGAACCTTCATCCACTCGCTTTCGTTTCGACTTTTTCAAGGAGAACATTGCTCCTTTCTAAATTGATGGGAGGTTTCATAACTTGGTTTGTGTAGTACTACGTAAGAACGGCGTTGATAATTCGAGTGGGAAAAATGAAACAGTGAGAGATAAATATACCCTAAAACTGGGATAACCCCTCAAACTGGGATGACTACTGGCAGTCACGTTATTCTATAAATACTCACTTAAGCGGCACGCTCAGTTCACAATACATTATGGAGCTACTGTAATGCGCGCAGGTGAGATCATACACCGTGATTCGTTCTGAATTATCCCCTTGAAAATGAGGAAAAGCTGGAACGTTTGAAATCATTCGTACTTTGGGGTGCATATTGATTTTAAGGCGACATAAAGGCATAATCATTCATTTGATAGTTTAATTTTCTATAGGACGATTGGCGTAGTGGTATGAGGCGCCGCTATGACGAGGGTTCGATTCCCGCCCCGGGCTAACCATGCCTTCTACCCTCTGGGGACGCTAAATGCATCCTAGACTAATCTGGAAGGACAAAAGCACTGACTTGATAATTGACTGGCCCTCGCAGGTCACTGTAAAAGGCTCACACGCATTCAGTATCTTTTGACTAGAAGTAAAGTGCGTTTGGCGCATGCCCGCAGAGGGTATGGAAGACTCTGAATCCTCTATCCTTTAACATGTATTTTTGTACATTCAAGTTCAAATTTATGGAGTATGTTGGGGTTGCACATGAGCAAAAGCGGTAACTACATGACTACTGAAATCACTATACTCTAGTGAAAATAAAATTGGAACTTCTAACTAAAGACTGAGAGTAGATAAATACAAGATCAAAATAGCAACCTAATTCCCATCTTTCCTTCTTTTCAAAATGCATCTACTATAATTACGGTAGGGACTTTTAGCTTGCAGCCTTTGTGGATAAGTCTTGTCTCAAAAAATACCAAAAGAATCTGAAAAGTGGTGTACCACGGTTTTCACGCGCACTTATTTCATTACTTGACTATTTACGAGTTCGTGAAGTTTTTGATATATTGCATCACACCTTTAGGAAGCATTGTTAAAAGCAATTAGCTATAGCCGTGGATCTGGCATTACTCATGAAGGAAGCATTGCGGTAGATTACGAAGTTCATATTTAGTTTCAGTGGCTTTAATTAGCCTAGTCTAAGGGTTTTCAGGTTGTTTTGTTTGCTTTCTGAGACGAAATAGGGCCCCGCACTGGTCAGAAACCTTCTTCAAGTTCCTACCGTAGACCTATAGTAATGAAGAGCGATCGGTGTTTCGCTCTATAGACTAAACTGAAGCCAGCTCTTCAAATTAGTTCCTGGGACTAGGCGAACGGCCTTTTGTAAAGATAGATATCAACGATCAAATAGTGTATACACAAAATGTTATTTTCACTCACTGTTCCCCTTTCCCACCATTAATCTTCTTTTGTCTTCAACAGCAACTTCCATTCAAGGTAGACACTTTATTGCAGTTGACGAATTACTCACGTCATTTGGTTACATCTGCCGGACATCAAATACGTCATCTTTGAAGCACATGCGGATGGGATTCAATGCGCTGGTAAGTTTGCAATATCTGGGCAACAAAAATAAAAATAGCAATCTTCAGACATACTGCCAATCATGCATCAATCCGATCCTTTACGCCTTCATCTCGCAAAATTTCCGAGCCACTTTCAAGTCGGCCTACGCTCGGATGAAGCACAGACTGCAGGTAATAAATAATCGGGCTTCTATTTAGTAAGAAAATTTGTGAAAAGAAAGCAAAAACCTAGCTTGATATTTTTATAGGGCATGGAGGAAACGCGATCAAGAATGGGTTCATGCTCCTCTGCGTCCATGTTGTCAACAAGGAATCAACATCGTATTTACGGGAGCAGTTTCAATACTCTAACAGTTCCTGGAAGGTACATACGCTGATTTCTGTCTATTACTCATATGATTTTGGTTTGCCTTTTTCAACATTTTTGTGCATGGGGGTGACCCCCCCCCCAGAAATGGATCGCGAAATTTACGATAGCTACTTATGGGTTTTGAAAATGTGCAAATGGCTTAATTCATACTTGTAAATAATCAAAATAACTCTTGAACTTTTCTAAGATTCGAATTAGCCTTGTAGAAAATTTTTTGCGGGGTGCGGCTGCTGCCACGCCTTCTTTTACTAATGTTTCGATGTAATGGGACCGTATAAATTCTGGAAAGCCTCCTTTTACATCTTTCGGAGTTTCTTAGACCAGGTTTGGTATTCGAATAACAATGAACGACACGCTTTTGTCATATCCTCGTTCAGAATCAGCTTGGAAGTTTACAGATAGGTTATGAATTTCGATTAATCGCAAGCAATAATCCATAGTTAAGCGCTCAAAAAGTGCACCAGAAATGAAAGCCTGAATTATATTTTATAGCCTGCATGAGCAATGATTCTTAATTTAGGAATTCAAAAAATAGTGATTCAAACTGACAAAATTAATTTCCTCATGCTCCCAAACAGGGACTCGAGACCGCAGTGGCAGTTTGGAATAAGCTGTCTATACCATAAAAGAGTAAAACGATTTTAAAAAAACCCCTAATATTTGATAATACAATGCCATAAAGCACAGGGCAGAACGCTGGAATGTGGCTGGTGCTAGAGTTTCCCATTCTTTTCAAAGAGCCATTAAAGTGAGAAAAAATACGATCACTGCTTGAGGTGTTGAGTTTCTTGAGGCGGTATCTTCGTTGTTTGGTCTTTCCTGATAAATTATACGGGAAGAGACTTTTTTGATGCGAAGATTAGCAAAAAATGAACATAGACCTAAAATGAAAATCGCAGTAAAGTAGGTGTTGCAACTGCTGACGTGACAATTCCCAGAATAGTAAAGCAGACAATTTTCTAACAACTATTTAAGTTCACACAGGTCTGCAATCACACCAAATATGTCCCGAGACGTGTCACAATTATCGCTTTGTCGGCCAGGATCTTCACTTTCATGCGTGATCAAAGGTCCCATAGCACCGGATGCACCGTCTTCATTCATTACCAGGTAACATAATGCTAAACATATGTTATGAATTTTACAACTTCACCATCGCTTGGTTTTGCATGTCACCATATGCTATTCATCCCAAAATTATAGCATGAAATAATCACGACAGATTCTTGGAACTGGCACTTCTACATAATCAGCTTAGGAGCTTACAAAGCGCGAGAAAGTAGGAGAGGAAGCGGGTGAGAGGGGGGGGGGGAATAATGCTTCTTCAAGATTCACCATAGTCTCCAAGCATTGAGCCCGTATTGCATGACAATTTTGGACGAAGAACAGCTTAATCTCCAATATTTATGAATTTTTGAGCAAAAGAAACAGAAAATCACCTTGGAGAGACTTGGAATGAAATCGGAGGAAGTATTAATGCAGAAATTTGGCTGCGTTCTAATTTTCAAATTTTTATAGGTTTAGGTTTTCATAGGTTCTTATAGTCTTGCGCTATATCCGAATTTGGGCTTTGAACCGCAAAGTTATATCGAAAATAAAGGGTTTTCAATTCTTATTTGTAGGTGGAAAAGTCTTCCGCGCTCAGGATCCGGCACGAGCTGGCTCAGGGAATTTTCAAAACGATGTTCCCCTTAATTTTCGCTAAGTTTTACGAAGTCCCCTTTAACCCTAAACCCTAAATTTAAAAAAACCCAAAAACGAAACGTCGGCTAAAAATCGTTTTTTTTTACAATTTTTGTGTTTTTTCGACCACAAAAACAGTAATCCCTTTGCTTTTTGTCCCAAAAACGATATCCAGTTTGTCTCATGCCAGCTGATGCCAGGCTCTGTCCGCGCTTCTGCGCGCTTGCGGCCATAGCGAGAGAGGGCGGAGCGAGCCATGAAGGCGGGGTGCGGGAATTTATCTACCCAGAAAGGCTTTCCGCATTGTAATTAGCAAGGGATATGAGAGGTCATGAACTGTCAGCAACGCTAATTTGCACCCAATTTGCACCGGAGACAAGCAGATTTTGCTCACGACAGATACGACACGACATCATCCTACAGTGTATGAAACCGGGATTTCATTGAAATTTAAATTCAAACTTCAGTAGTGAAATTAGTCCAACTAAGGTAAAAATTTGTATTTAGGGGTAATCTGCCATGCTCTTTCCAAATATGATGATGGTTTTGCGTGAAAACTCAAAATTTTTCTTTTTTAAAATTTAAATCTTGTTTTCAGTATTTTTCTGGCAAAAGCTTAAAAAATTCATTTGTTTTTCATGACGGTACAGGCTGATTATTGCTCTCACTGCTTTCAGAATAAAACTGTGCACTAGAGCCAGTATCATTAGAAAAAATTAATGGCTAAAAATCATTTTTGAGTATCGGTTCTGAATTTGAGATTGGCGTTTGCCTTTATTTATCTGAGATCCCCATGACAGCTGTTGAGAGTTAGGATCCACTGTTGTATAATATTGCTGCACCAATTGCTGCATTTGAACGTTGAATAGAGCGTCGAAATCGTAAAGGCCATCAAAAGACATGATGAGAGTATCGAATACGCGATAGGGGGTTCTGTCTGACAATTTTTTCCTATTTATAGGAAAATTTTAGCCTTAAACTGTTTTTTCGACCTTTCATTCCCATAAGCATTTTTGGTCATTTCATTGCTCTGGGCGTACTCGTCGGCTCTGTGTTCGCACATCATAATATCTGTCTTTGACAGATAGTCTCCAACCACGTGCATTACAGCCATGCCTATCAATGCTGATACGAGCAAATATTTTATCATTTTAAAATAGAGTGATAATTCAGTAGCTGATCTTTAAGCAAACTAACTGTAGGGTCCGGAATAATTAAATAACACGCAGATTTCCATGACAGCTGGGAATCTTTTCCAATCCTTCAAACTTAGTTTGAGCTTCATTGAATTTTTTCTTACCTTATTTCGAATTTTACTTCGCAGTTTTATCATTTCTTTCTAGTCTTCCTGGAAATACATTCTTTTTCATTTGTTTTTCAGTTTTATCAAGGTTGCAGTGAAATTTATGAAAAAGTCAAAATTTCAAAAAAAAAGGTTTCGAAGTTTCCGGCGAAAACATTAGCATATTCGAAAACAGCATCATAACCCTCAAATGAATTTTTTGAGCTTTTTGCCAGAAAAATACTGAAAACAAAAAAAGAAAAAATTTTGAGTTTTCACGCAAAACCATCATCATATTTGGAAAGAGCATGGCAGATTACCCCTAAATACAAATTTTTACCTTAGTTGGACTAATTTCACTACTGAAGTTTGAATTTAAATTTCAATGAAATCCCGGTTTCATACACTGTAGGATGATGTCGTATTTGTCGTGAGCAAAATCTGCTTGTCTCCGGTGCAAATTGTGTGCAAATTAGCGTTGCTGACAGTTCATGACCTCTCATGTCCCTTGCTAATTGCATTGCGGCAAGCCTTTCTGGGTAGATAAATTCCGTTCCCCTGAAGGCGGGGTGAGCCATATCAAAGCAAAGTCATTGCTCTCGGCTTTTTTTCAAAGCATGCTCAGTTGGGAAGCTATCCTTAAGTAAAAAACAGCAAAAATCACAGGAATCGAAGTGCAACCTCAATATCTCGAGAGTCTACTCGTCCACGAAGCCCAACAGATGCTTCGCAGACGAGCCGACCGAAACATTTTATACGGTTAGTTTGACGATTTTGAGATGAGGTGGGTAGTAATTTGAAATTTCAGACCACGAAGTCCAACAACGTCATCTCAAGCCTCAACGATAGAACCTCTTAATCGCTCTAGAAGTCCAACTAATCACTCGGAAATCTCTATTGTTGTTACTTCCAGGTAGGCCAACTACTTCTCGACAGGATGACAACTTTTGTAATGAAATTTTTTAGAAGCAGAAGCCCTACAAACACATCTAACCAAACAGCAGACAAAAACTCGTCGAACAAAAGTCTGCCCGAGAAGGATCTGCTGACTGTCTTGGATGCAGTCCGACCTAGAACTCCGCCTTGCTTGTAGAGGATGAAGACCCTTGTTTACTTTCTCCCATGGAGATTAGCGTTTGCTCGACGGTATGCTACAGTACTACCGTGGCCTGCCGCAACGCCTCGTGCACGCGGCTACCGCAAATGTGTGGCCCGGTTATCCGGTCCTGAAGCGGAATACGACAGCACGGTCGTGCGAAAAGGCCTATACTCCTCACACGTGTCCCATGAGATCACTTGATAATCAGCTCCTGATGTTCTTATGCGCTCCTGATGTTTGCTGAAACGGGATGTATAGACACTGATTTTTTACTTTTGAGATTTTGCTTGTTTTGTTTTGTCATTTATCCTCCTTATAAAGATATGGCGTTGTTGAGTGATGTTGACCGTTGTTACAAAAGTCAACGAACGACGAGATGTTGTATTTTGACGTTGAAGATAGTTTCATGTGAAAGATAAATGCACCAGGCTAGTTTTCAAAAAAGACCAGGGACCTTGTGCTCAATGCTCAATCTCTCATATATCCCAGTGAAAATACATAGCAAGCACGCGCTGATGAGTAGCCTCAACTTAAATAAAGGTTCGGCAGCCAGAGGGTTGAATGGCCCCATTCCCTGGAATTTCAATGCATAATTTTCAAATGGCTAGAAACTTGATCTAAGAGAAAATCATTGGGTCTACCACAAGCCCTCATCACTGAAATGCAAAATGTGCCAAACTTCAAAATGCTCAAAATAGCTTGTTGAAAGATGGTCTTAGCAATATCTTCAAGAGTAAAATAGCCGATACGAAAGGAAAGATGAACAATGAGGGTTTAGATAAACTATCCCGGAAAGAAAAGTTATGCGATAACATACACATCCAAACTGCAGCTGATAATCAGAGCATCAATACTGAGCGACAAGCAAAATTACAATAACCCGCTAATTTTGTTGCTGTCAATCATCTTACACCACAAGAGGAGTCGGCATGATCTTTGTTTGCCAATGTCGCCGCAATTAATGAACGGCTCGTCCTGCCGCGGACGAACATTGCATTTTTGTCTGTTTGAGCTTTTTCTAGAGATTCTACAACACAGTATCTCAATAGCACTATTGGTAGCTCTTACATTGTTTGGGGAGGGGGTAGGGGAGGGAGGGCATAACCTCCAAACTTCAATGCGTAAAATTTAATAGAACTCTGATATAAAGTAGAACTTCTCTTGATATTAATCTAATGGATTTTATTACAATGACACCACTTAAAAATGGTGTTTAGGTGATGAAAAACTCATTTTAAGTCTAGTTTATTTGAGCACTTTCTGCGCGAGTTTTGGAGCACTGAATCGGGGTTGTAGGAAGCACGAAATGTTTGAAAAAGCACAAGCCAAATCTTGAGCTTCAGACCTATCTTGCTCACGAAGAGTTCTGTACAAGGGTAACTGAATTTTTATAGAACTAGGATAATGTAAAAAACAGATTATTCGCTAATTTTATCCTAATTTTATCGATGTGGGTATGCACTACCAGCATATGCAGTAATTACGCATGTGCTCTTTCATGTTTCTTGGACTTAGGTATCGATTTACTTCTCTCTGTCAGTGCTATGCTTGAGAACAGCGGACTAACCTTTGTCTTTGAATTTTTGGTTTTTTCGCTCTTTCTTACTTCACATAAAAGTTGCGAGCATAGATGCGATAGGTGGAGAAATTTCTCTGACCCCCTTCACTTTAGGGCCGGCATCTGGCTGACCCCTTTCACCTGAGGTTGAGACTAATCAAGGCAAACAGCTATTACAAAGGAACTTTCGTTTGGACAGAAACGCCACCTGCTCTTCTCCTCAGACATCAAGACTGCAAGAGAGTATCGAATCAACAACATTTTGTTAAAAAAACATTCTTGAGACCTTCTCCGCGCTCAAAGGGCGTTGATAACGAAGCGCAATCAAAAAGTAAAAGGTGATTTTTTGAACAATTAACATTGTGTCAATGAATACATGCTTTGCAAAAAAGAGTTGAGCAAGAGTAAAAAAATCTGAACCGACTAGCGATGGATGCATGTTTGCTGACAAAAAATCATACCATATCTCTTTTCACTAAAGAGAATAATAACAAACAAAACAACAGTCAGATTACTCGTTTTTCATGCTTTCGATTCATATATAAAAGTTCGAAAAAGACCTTCTTGGTTGGAAAATATAATTACCCAAAATTGGCTGATATTGTAGCTAGATAAAACTGCTCGTATCTCGCTTCACAGAGAAGCTACGAAAAAAGAGACGGTCTACGTCGATTCCTCGCGTTCTTATCTATCGAATGGTATATAAGGTGCTGGTGCACAAAGCTTTCCCAGTCCAAAAAAGTCTTGCTCCGGCAACCCATAGAAAGCCGGAGCGGGGTGGAGCAAGTTACTATTGAATATCTCCACCTCATTTTTAAGAAACCACAAGTTTTTTCACCCGACAACCTGTACACCATTAGAAAGCCCACAAAAAAAGGATTCGACGTAGACCGTCTCTTTTTCTCTAGCTCCCCTCTACTTAGAGTTACACGGGATTTTAGCCAAAAAGATGTGTGTTTTTGTCGAGAAATTTCTGCGTGAAGAATGGATAAAGGTGCCTGATTTTCTAACTGTATCACAGAGCAAGACCTTGCCAGTAAACGTAGACCGTCTCTTTTTTTTAATCCTTGTTCTTTCTTTCAAAACTAAATTACAAAATAATTACACAAAATTAGCTGGTGAGTAGGCGTATAAAATCGCTCGTATCTCGCTCTACAGAGAAGCTATGAAAAAAGAGACGGTCTATGTCGATTCTCCATAATCTCAGCTTTCGAACGGTGTGAAACATGTTAGGGCTTTTCTGCTTCACGGCTCTAAAAAGCGCTTGCTCTGGTGACCGATAAAAGCCAATACATTGGGGGAGCTGGGTGGAGCAAGCCAATAGTAAATACCTCCACACCATTTTTAAAAACTGGCAAGTTTTTTCGCTCAGCAATCTATATACCATTCGAAAGCCCAGGAAAGGGGGATTCGACGTAGACCGTCGAATTTTTTCTAGCCGCCCTCTATCGAGAGATACACTGCATTTTACCTGAAATCATGTTCATTTTCAACAGCAAATTCTGCCAAACGAAGACCTAATCTGCTGGTTATCTATCTGCGTTACAGAGCAAGTCTTCATTAGCAGATGTAGACCGTCGACTTTCTCGTAGCATTCTTTTGGAGAGCAGAAAGTGAGGACACAAAATTAGTTGACACATGAAGTACATAAAATCCCTCAAATCTCGCGGAACAAAAGACCTAGGAAAAAGCCGACGGTCTACGTCGATTCTATATGACCTCAGTTTTCGAATGGTATGTAACTTGTTGGGGCATTTTGCTCTCAGGGCTCACTTACCCCCTTCACCTTACAAGGATGGGAGTAGCAGAGACCCCCTTCACCTGGAGAGGGCCCGGCTCCCCCTATCGCACCTATGGTTGCGAGTAAGGTGGAAGATTTAGTATCACGCTTTTTGGCACTTTCAAAAATCTTTCAGTCAAAATATGCGTAATATAATATTAATTAATTTGGAAATTGATGACTTTTAGGTAATTTCAAATTGAAATCGCGAACAAGTCCAAGAGCAAAAAGCCACCATTCAAAATTTCCAAAAACAAGTATATGAACAGAATTATGTGAAGATTACTTACTTGTTTTCCTGCCACTGTTGTGGGCACTCCACTGAAAAACTGCACTTTCTTAATCAAGTTTATGGTAATAATCGGATTTATAGCTGAACTTTATCACTTCCTATTTGGATTATTGCCATGTTGACCTTTGCCGCTACACAGTTGCAGTTCATTTGAATTTCAATGATGTCAATGTTGTTCCATTGCGGCATATAGGAACAGCCTACGCTAGCTTTCACAGCCTTTGTTTCCTTTCTCTGGTTCATTTATTCTCCCGTTAATACGCCGGGAGTGCAAGACATATACCTAGTACCTAATATACCTGCTTCTCCCATAAAATGTTGCTTATGGTGAACAATCAAAGAGCACTTCTGATGCAACAGGGAAGGGGAGGGGAGGAAAGGCGGCATGAGACAGATCCTCTTGAACCTTATTTCAGTGCCACGATTCCATTATCTGAACAAGCTTTATCCCTTTCTATCCTTGCAAATTTACTCGAGGGCTGGACTTGAAACGACTTTTATAGGTGTCTCTTTGTTTTGTTTTTGTGTTACTGAATATATGAGTGCTTTCGTTGATTGTCTAGATGTGGCGCGCCTTGTGCGTAGCGAATAGAATAAATGAATGAATTACTTGGAAACATTGTCATTAAATAGCGTTTAATTTCTCCTTGTGCTTTACCTCCAAAATTATGTTATTTTACAATGAAAGATTAAATTATAAAAAAATCAAAATGATTTGGTTAATGCGGGAAATCGTGTACGAAATATGCTACAACTCAGCAGTAGCAATATATGTATAGTTACTGTTTGAAGATATTGGTTGGAGTTCCTTCTTGCATTCCTGCCGTAAAGCAGTCATGCAATTATTGTAAAACTATTGTTGTCTCAATTCTGATTAAGAAAGGTATACTGGAAGATATTTAGTGTTTTTTTAATATTTTTAGAAGCTACTCAAAATTAAGGAGAATTTTAACTACCCACTATTAGAGGAATTATTATTGCAACAAATGTTACTCAGACCATTATTTGCTTATCTAATTTACCAGACAAATGACCGGAACCGCAGAGCACTTGCGGAAGTTCCGAAATAAGGTCCTACGGAAGTTCCGAAGAATGCCAACCACAACAGCAAAAGAGAACACCGAAGTGAGATTTGAACCTCACTCTATTGACTGTGAAACCCACCTACTATCCTCTACACTAAAGCTGACATGTTCAGTAATGCACTCTAGTTGTTGGCGAGGCAACATCACGAGACAACACATTCAAAGTCCTGCGGAAGTTCTGGTAGGCCAAAGTGCTGCGAAACCTCTGGCATTTTTCGGAATTTGCGCAGGATTTTGAAGAAGGTTCTGCGGAAGTTCCGGTTTTCAACCAGCTTGGCATGAAAATCCCGCGGAAGTTCCGATTTTCAACGTAATCATTTATGCACTAGTGAACAAAGTCCTGCGGAACTTCTGCATATTTGGCCTGTCCTGCGGAAGTTCCGGTGATTTGTCCAAGTAGTTGTTAGTTTGATATATTGTCTTGATTTTTGTGAACTAGTAAGAAAAGGTTCACATTTGCGGGCAACATCGGGGGTCGAAATAGCTTTCAGTTGCAAAATTTCGATGAAAAGGGAATGCAAAAAAAGATGCAGAAATGTGTGAAAATTCATATACTTCTTTCACTTGATTTGCATTCATTGTACAGAAATTTATGACAGAACTAATGCATGTATCAGCAATTTTCCATTGACAAAAGGAATTCCCAACGGTAAACAAAGGTCTGTAATTAGGAATAAGGGGAATCAGGTGCAGGCAGAAAAAGCTTCAAAAGATTTCTTGGATTCACTCGTATGTCATCGAGCTGCGTGCGACTGCAGCTGTTCTTTATCCATGTGTATCGATTCATTACTTGTTTGTCCGTTTCATTTGCTCCGTAAATCAGAATTTACTTTTTTTCCTATAACTATCTCATCTCTGCAAGAGTTCACAGCCGTAATATTGCACTAATCCGCACCAGCTCTTTCCATACATACGCTGTCCTTCAACTATATATCTAGATTCGTTCGATTTGAGGCAATTCAGAGCACAAAATGGTGTCTTCATACTTCGAATTGCTATGTATAGTCCTTCTAGGACTAGGACACATGTGCATCTATATAGGAAACGACTCACAGGTAAATCCATCGTACGGGATGCAAACATTTTTTGTTTCGTTGATCCGCTTGAGGCACTCAAGATAATTTGCAGACATTTCTGGTGGAATCAGTGACTCATTCAGTAAATCGACGAGATCCAGAAAGGATCGATGCACATGCTGGATATTACGGGTATTTTTTTATATGACTGCGCATAAAGGATGAAATGATTGTAAACAAAACTAGAAAATCAAGTATAGAGATTTGAACATTGCCGCGGCATTTCTGATTTTTATCAGGTTACGGTAAAGAGCTACCGCAACCTGGTAAAACGAACTTTTGAGAAGCTATTTGATCAGTTTTTGGCCATTTTCCTTTTCTTTAACTCGATCAAAGCAAGATTTCCTAGACAGAAGGGTCCGCTGGAGTTTTTCAAATATTTGTCAAGCTTGTAACCATCCTCGTCTTGATGACAATTATTCAATAACTTTCTATGAGTACGTGAAAGCGTCTCAAAAAATACCTATTTTGCACTGCTTGAAATTTTCCACATTACAGCATTGTAGCTTCAAGATGACTGTAAATGTTTAAAAACAAAAATTCTGCCAGTTAACTTAAATAATCTTGGTTAGAAGTCCATAAATCACTTTTTTTAGACAAGCAGTATGCTTCGTAGCTTTCATGTTCGGAAGTCTTTTCACACCATCACTTCTTCCTCTACTATCTGCAAAGTGGAGTTTATTGCTAAGCTCCCTTTGCTGGACAGTCTACCACGCTAGTTTTTTCTATCTAAACAGTTATCTCTACTATTTCTGCTGTACCCTGATTGGATTTGGATTTGCTTGTGAGTTTTTCTTGGAAATTATAATTCTTCCTCAAGACAAAGTGTCCTTGGCGCTACCAATCAGGTAGAGTCTATATAAATCGTTTTGTAGGTGATAGTTGATGTCTGTTCACAATACTAGTTCTCAAAAATGTAAAGATCACAGTATTGATATATGATTTTAACAGCAACCAACCGATACCGCAGGATCCTAATTTTTCGCCAACCACTGCTACCTTACACCTATTGTAGCTATAAGGAGGTGTAATTTGAAAGAAAGCAGAATGATCATGAGCAAATATGCGTGAAGAATAGCAAATTCTGTAATTTTGTTGTGTTCTGACGAATCGCTACTGATGCTACCAATTTTAGTATTTTTTACTGGTTACGGCTCCTATTTGACAGCACATTCAACTCGGAAGACAATCGAACAAAATTCGGCAATAATGTGGACTGTTGGAAATTTTTGGTAAGTACATACATTGAGCAATACCCGCGACATACTCTTCGCTTGTTTCTAGCTTATTCTTCTCTTCGGCACTTCTAGTTCTTATTCTACATTTCAACGATGCAGCAAAATCGACAAGGGAGAATGTTTCAAACTCCACTATTTTTGATGCTGATCCCGTAAAAACGCGAGAATTCTCTGATAATGATATTAGATTGATGTATGGAGCCTTTATGGCTGTTACCATCTGTTCAAATATCATCTTCGCTTTGATGCCTTCGAAAGATCTTGACGACTGTATCGAAAGTGGGAAGCCAGAAAGAATCTTATCTTTTATGGCAGAAATGAGTAAGAAAACAATCTCAAAAGGTTTAGCTCCGAGAAAAAATTGCAAGTTCTCATTTTCAGGAGTCATGTTCTCTTCATTCGCAAACCAAAACATATTGCTGCTCACACCATTATTTTTCCATATTGGTATTGTCACTGCATTCTGGATAGCTGTCTACCCTACGACATTCCTTTTTACGGAATCGCTCACTGCTTACAATTACCTGCCGGCTTACTATAGCGCCTTTGCTGGAATCGGAGAAATAGTCAGTGGGTGCTTTTATTTTCCAGAGCTCTTCGGAATTCTGCTTACAAAGCTGCTTTTCTTCATCTTGTTTTCAAGCTGCCATTCAATCTTCTATGCGCCCGCATATTGATGTTATGATAAACTTTAAAAAAATCGGAAAAATAGACTCTAGGAACAATTCAAAAAGTTCATTTCACTAACAATGAGAACGCCTCTAGATGTGCTCTACCACTGATAAATTAATCTTAGTACTGCCTTCTTGAAAAAATTTCTCTTTTTACCTTCTTATTTACCTCCAATTCATAGGATCTTATAGTCTGTTAACGTTTTCTGGTGCATTCATTCAGGGACTGTATATTCTTACTAGGCTTTGTCATTTACTGTTCTTTGCTTGCTTATGAATTTTTTCTCGTTTGCTTAATCACATCAGTTTATTTGACTCTTCATTTATTTTCTCCTGTTGCTTTATCTACAAGTTTCAAACATATAAGTTATTTTCATGTATTCTTGAAATTTACTCATTTATTTTTCGAAAAGTTAACTGCAGATAAAGCAATATAAATGTTGATGATTTATGTATCATCAACCTCAACAATTCTATAATCCTAATAGCTTACGGGTATTCCCCATAGGCTATATTCCCCAATCGCTTATATTTAAGTGCCGAATCACTCACCAATGAGTGGCACCTATCTTCCAGGGGCCGCGCCAAGCTGCGGCATCCTCTTTCTTACATATATTTCGTGGACATTCCGATTGTGCACGGGTCAGCTCCGCCTTACTACCTATATAAGGAGCCTCCGATCGTATTATAGGTTGCTCCCCCCGGTTCAACACCGGGTTCGTCTGTGGATAAATTACTATCGACACCACTATCGTCAACTACACTTGGTTCCCACCAAATTGGTGCATCGACCAGTGAAGCCACCTCGTATTCTACCTGCAACCGGAGGAATCGAGGCCAGAAGACCCGCGTGGCAGGAAGAAGAACCAACCGACTATCTGAAAATCTTTGTGTATCCTTTTCGTAAGCGATCCAAAGAGGTGTAAGAGAAACGGAAGGAATACCACTGACTATCTGAAAATCTCTGTGCATCCTTTTCGTAAGTGATCCAGAGAGGTGTAGGAGAAATCAGTCGGTCGTGTGAACTATTCTTGAAAACTCTCTGTGCATCCTTTTCGTAAGCGAACCAGAGAGTGGGAAAGAATCAGTGTCACCACACAACCACAGACAACTTGGAAACTTTCTGTGCATCCTTTTCGTAAGTGATCCAGAAAGTGAAAGAGTAGTCAAGTGGAGCACATAATCACATTAATACGTGAAACTTTCTGTGTATCCTTTCCGTAAGCGATCCAGAGAGTGGAACAAATTTTGTGAGTGCAGCACATAACCACATAAGACCGTGAAACTTTCTGTGAATCCTTTTCGTAAGTGATCCAGAGAGCGGAACAAATTTTTGTGGGTGCAAATTTCCAATCAATCTCATTGATCTCTCGCGAATCCTATCCAAGGACCAGAGATCAGTACATTGAGATTTGAAGGAAGGTAACTTGAGTCACAAGCGCTCATTTTGCCAAAAAAGTCAAAGTTCGACCAAGAACTCTTGACTTAAGAGGATTGAAGCCCAATCCTTATCTGGTCAAGGTCCAAGCCACCTTACCAGTCAGCACAGCCAAGCCATCCCGGCACGTTTGCAACTCAGAGACCAGCACCACAGCTGCCTCTACTCAACGGATCACCAGAAGATACGTCTACAAGTTGACGAAACCTCGCTAACTTGTACCTTCGAAGCAACCAGCTTTCTAAGAAGAGAAGAAAATAGAAGTCGGTTTAGCAGAAATGGCCGCTCTTCAACTCTTCAAACACAAAATCAACAACGCTTGCAAGCTCGTAAAATCCTGCGAGTCCGAAGTGGAGAACGTAGACGTCCCCTTCACATTTCCAACAATAAAAGCGGAATGTGAAGAATATATCAAAGAAAAGGCAGGAGTAATAACAAATCTCCTCAATTCTTTGCAAAACGCTGTGAAATTGCAAGAAACACAGCTCAACGCTGCCATTGAGTACATCAGTGCACGCAGTGAAGAAAAGGAACGAGAGAAGCTGATGGTTGAACTTAGCAAGCATTTGGAGCTGGAAGCACTCGATCTGGAAGTGATAGCAGTTCAATGGCAAAACAGAATACAGTTCAGACAACATGAACTGAGGGAGCAAACGACACTTTTGCATACGCCTGTTCCTAGTATTCCGAGTCAGCCAGACAGCGAGATAGGAAGAGGCTCAACAACGGAACGAAGTGAACGCCAGATCAGGATCCGGAAACCGCTCCTAGAGGTTCCTACATTCTCTGGCAACTTCAGAGAGTTCAACAGTTTTTGGACAGTGTTCGATTCACTTATCCACTGCGACGAAGACTTATCGAATGGCGACAAATTCCTTTTTCTAAAGCAAGCGCTCAAAGGAAAAGCAGCTGCTGCGTTGAACTGCATCCCTGTAGTCGGAGAGAAGTATCAGACAGCCGTCAACATTCTAAAGAAGCACTTCGATCGCTCTGCCAACATGGCAGACATACTCATCAACGAAATCGAACGACTTCATGGAGCAAAAGACGATCCCGAAAGTTGCCGAGAAACCTTTGAAGCAATCAGTTCGCGGATCATTCACCTGGAACAAACTGGAATGAAGATGAGCGCAGACAGAATTTGGCGCAGAATGATTCTGTCCAAATTTCCTGAAGACATCTGCGCAACCGTCATACAGAAGGAAACCGTATGTGGCGATCACTTCGATGTTTCCGAGATTCTAGACGCAATCGACCACATCATCTCTCTTCGGGAAACGACCGCACTAACGATGAAGACACTGCTTCCAAGCACGGCACATACGAGCGGCCATCGAGACACAGATAACGATTCAGAATGGGAAGAGGAGAGAGGAAATCTCGAGCAGTCTCGATTTCCTACGAGCAGCAATCATCATTTGCAAGTCTCTAGGATGCAGCGAAGAACTAACTCAAATCATCGAGAAGCAAATGAAGTACACGTTGCACGAAGCCCGTCCTATGGAAACGAAATCTGCAACTTAAGCAAAGAACTACCCGTCGTGCGCCAAAGCGTACTCCAAATGGCGTCGGCAATGATATTCAATGAGGAACATTGGGACTATCAACCCACAACAATACTGATTGACTCCGGCGCCCAGCGAAGCTTCATCAAATCAAAACTTAGTGAAGAGCTCAAGCTGCCAGTCAGCCAAACGAAGTCATTCACCACATCAGGAATGGGAGAATTGCAAGAGACATTCAGTTCCAATGAAGTACAAATTACTTTGAAAAGCTTTCACAACGCAGAGAAGCTTAAGAAAATATCAGTGCACACGAAAGAGAAGTTGACTGCCAACCTACATACAGCACATCTCACGGATGCTGACGTCTGCTTCATTTCCAGCAGAAACTTGACGGTAGCTCAAGATACGCTCACCCGAATAACCGTCTCACCCGATCTCATTATTGGACAAGATCTTCTTAGTTTCGTCACTGTTCACAACGAAACAGTGCTCAAGCTTCCTTCGGGGCTCATCTTAACCCCAACCATCTTCGGATACGTCATATCCGGTACAAGCCGTACCAACATGAGCACAGAGACTGTCGGCACGTTTGGTTGTACATCAGCGATGCAGGAAGCCTTCAAATCCGCCCTCACCCTCAACGACACGTCAAATGGCTGACGACGAAGAAAACGGGCACCAATTTCAACGAAAACATTACACATGCAATCTACAGGAGAATTCTCCAAGCGCATGCTGAAGTAACATCTCAAAAGGCAACGAAGTTGTTACCGAAAAAGAGGAAAAGGCGGACAGCTGCTTTCAACCGCAAAGCTAAGACAGACAGACAACGCTGGCTGGCCAAAGTTGGCTGCATATTAGGCTCTAGTTCCAGCTCCACCACGAGGATTGCGAATGGAACTCTTGCCAGAACACTTCGACCCACGTCACAAGCTAACATAAAGATGACGGACATGCCACAGATCACACATCACAGACATCTGATGACGGAAACCACGGCTATCACGAAGACAATCACCGATAACGATTCTGTCAACTCAAAATCGACGAGGGCAGAACCGACGAGGAAGAAGAGACGACGACGGAAGGCGAAGCTACACCACGGAACAGCATCCACCAACCACTACAATTGATCACCGTAAATCTCTTCTGTCTGTAGCTCCCATAAGTATGTTTAAGTCTATACAAATCTATGCATTTGTTGTATCTTGTGCTTACCAGATTAACTTCTTGCTTGCTCGCCCGGAGTGTTGATGATTTATGTATCATCAACCTCGACAACCAATCTAATAGCTTATACTTATGAACACAGCTATATCTCAATTTCTAAGTACAAATGCTTTTAGGAGGTTTTGATTGTATTTATTTATTTACATCTCAACAGATTTCGCCTCCTTCTTGCTCGCCCGGAGTGTTGATGATTTATGTATCATCAACCTCAACAATTCTATAATCCTAATAGCTTACGGTTATTCCCCATAGGCTATATTCCCCAATCGCTTATATTTAAGTGCCGAATCACTCACCAATGAGTGGCACCTATCTTCCAGGGGCCGCGCCAAGCTGCGGCATCCTCTTTCTTACATATATTTCGTGGACATTCCGATTGTGCACGGGTCAGCTCCGCCTTACTACCTATATAAGGAGCCTCCGATCGTATTATAGGTTGCTCCCCCCGGTTCAACACCGGGTTCGTCTGTGGATAAATTACTATCGACACCACTATCGTCAACTACACTTGGTTCCCACCAAAATAAATACTGAATTGAGGAAATTTCATATACATCTTTGATGAACACGTAAACAAAAAAAATTGATTTGATTGATTGATTTTGCTAATTTTGATTTTTAGTGGGTGTCGTAATCACCATTGCTTGTCGGAAAATAAAGGATTTTGGGCTTTCACCATCTATGCTTATATCGACAGCGTTAACATTTCTTGCGCTCGTCACTTTAACTGCATCGGTTCCTGAATGGTCGACAGTCGCGCCAACCAAGAATCTGCCATGGCTGGTGCAACCAAGGTGATTAGGGTGTAAAAATTCATGAGCAGTTATTCATGTATTTTAGTATCTGGATAACATTTCTGATAGCTGTTCTCTTCGGAGCAATCGATTCCGCCATGAACACGGTTAGAAACGTTGCCTGCGCACTGGCCATGCCTGAGGCTCGAGCGCAGGCTTTTGCGATCTCCAAATTTTATCAGGTAACAGGATATCTATTTTCTGAGTTTTCTGTTAAAGTGTATTTTCATATACTTCTAACAAATTCCCGGTGTCTGTTTACATTATATCTATTCCATTCATCTATCATATCTATTTTCTTTATTCCATTTAAGATTTTCGTTGTTAATGTTAACAAAAATGGTTTTTTGATTGAGTTAATAGTTACCCTTAAGTTATACGCACACTTGAAAAAAAACGACAGTGAAAGAAATTCTTTTAAAGCTTATAGTTGCTTTAAAATGAATCTTCAATCTCTAGGTCCTCTAGAGAAGCCGTTGATGAACCAACAAACTCAAAAATCTGGACAAAGTTTTGCTTCTACAAAATGCTTTCTTTATCAGCGAGCTATGGATACAAAACGTATTCCCATGCCGGGAATCGAACCCGGGCCGCGTGGGTGAAAACCACGAATCCTAACCACTAGACCACATGGGACACAACGCTTCGTTGTGCTTCACTAAGAACAATCAGTTTGCTTACCATTACACTGAGTCATGGACGCATTATCGAATCATAATCAATCTGTTTTCTAGAGACAACAGAGCAGATTGCTTATTTCTTTAAAGCTGAAAGTGTGCTGCTATCTTATCACTATCCTCACAACCGAAGATAGATTGATTCTACTATATTACAGTTTTCAAAATGGGATAACATACATATTGTGCCATAGTGAAAATAAAAGAAATGAGTGGTTACTTGTGATTCCTAAAATTCATAGCCCTTAGTGTGTTACAAATTTTTTGATTTTGATAATCGATAAGCATGCTTTTTTACTTTCTCCCAAAAACGTTTTTTCAATGTTTCCTGTGTATAGTAGCGTGGAAAAAAGTTGCGACATGTGAGCAAGAAGAATTGAAGTTGTAGCACAAATAGAAGTATCAGGCTATTACTTTATATCTGCTAAATTTTTCATTCGTATGGACCCGAACCACTTTTGAGCCTTTCGATTTGTTTCCCGTAGTTCGGTGGAGTAGCGTAACATATGATATTTGATGTTAACGAGAAATCCACATTTGCGCGCAAAGTGGGTTTTTGATAAATAAAGTTAAACATCGAAGGTGAAGCTTAAAATCACTTACCAGATATAGGCATGATGCTTTCTGTCACGAAGAAATTTGAATTTTTTAAGTTTTGGTGAGGAGATCTGGTGCCAAATTTTGCGCTTTTTCTTCACTAAGGCTGGTTTTGTTTTCAACTAAGTGCACCATCTGATTCTCTAAGATTTTTTTGTTTACCAGACATTCATAAAAAAATTTTTTACAAGCTACAGGCTGCAAGCACTGAAGTCATTCTTTAGTTGGTATCTGTTTCACTAATCCTGTACTTTTAGGCCCTCGCAAATGCTTTATCGATGGTGCTCAGTTCACAAATGTCAATCTATCATCACGTAGAGCTTCTTGTCATAACTACGACAATCTCTACTGTAACTCTCATCTGGGTTCAACGACGAATCAACAGCAAAACCAACGAAGTGCTCGAATCTCCTTGTGCTACGAAGATGTGCGATATAAATAATACTAATTGACGAATACGAAAAGCACCGTCGCTTGAGAGACTCAGGAAGGAATTTTGCTGGTACAAAAAAAGAGATACCATCATTTCACTTGTTGCTTCGATATCTCAAATTGTCTGTGATGTCAAGCCTCTGCACATATCAAATTTGACTTCGATTTCTGCGAAATAAATGATTAGTCTAAGCATGTAAGCTAAACTGTGAGAAAATCATCCTGAACTGTTTGGCTGGAGAAAGTCATCAAGAATAACTAGAAAAGAGTCATATTTCTATTCCGGCTACAACTTATGAATCTGCTATTCATAGGTTCTTCACACAGGTTTTCAAGACTTAATCCAAATTATTGCTGATACCAGTCATTACTGCCCTAAAAAAAGTCTAAATCATAATGAACTCATACAAATCTATCAGTCGTAAGGCATTCGTCCGGTTCGTTTCCGTGAAGAACGAGCTGATACACTTTTGTACTTTGACCCTTATTCTAAAATCTATAAGCGCGGATTATCCGTGTGTGCTTCATTTAATGGCAAATTTGAGAATAGTTGTACAAATCAGCCAACACATATGGTTGTTGATCATATTTATTCACCTGCAGCTAACAAAAGATTGGAGGAAACAATTAAGAGTTTTTTTTTATTCTGCGTACAATTGCTCGTATCCTGACTTTGAAAAGATAAAAACTAGTTGACTTAAAATCCAAATCAGAAGAAGTCCTTTCTCAAAGCAGGAAACTCAAAATGTGCACAGGGTTCTTCATTTTGGGAGATGAAACATTTACTGGAGACAAAGTTGCACAAGTTTTGACTTGTTGCGCATCCACGCTCACAGCGTTATCGAGCATTCTATCCAGGGAGTAAACGATTCGAATGGGTGGAGGACGTTAGGTCGCCAAATTTGGAAGAGTCCTGCGCGGATACCCTGCAGGAACGCATGTCCGCGTATGTACAAGGGTGCGTATTTGTCGCAAATGACCGCGGGGACCGCCCTCTTTCGGCGACCTAATGTCCTCCACCCGATTCGAATCATGTTATGTATCAGTGGTTTCTAGGCTTTACTGTAGTCTGAGGCGGGATAGCACCTTGTAGAGTGTGGTATACAGAACATATAAGTTGTAGTAGCTTTATTAAGACAGACGACGTGCACTCACGGGTGTAGTGGTAGAATGCTCACAATAATAGGCGTAACAACGCAAGTTACCAGGCATCTGGGCAGTAAACAGACTTATATCACAGCAGGTCATGCTTATGACATGACCTCGGTACTTATACAGTGAGATACAAGCGAAGTGATATGAAAGTAAGGAGGTGCCAACAATATTGGCACATATGTGTTGTTGCTAGAACAATTTTTTTGCGATAGTCTCACAAACGTACAAGCCCGATATGGAATCCATTGCATTACGGAACCGTGGCGACTGAAATCGCGTGAGGTATGCCTAGAAATACCCTAACTGACTCAGCTTACATTTGTGCACTTGTCGACAACATTTGCGCGTGAAAATACCCGCTCACGTCCAGTTTTACTATCCCAACCCCTCCGCTTCTCCATGACATGTATGGCCCTTGGCATACCTCACGCGATTTCAGTTATGACGCGATTCGGCAATACTCCAAATGTTCATAACTCATCGTAACTGGTTTTCAGATGTACGGAAGATAAAGCATTTTATCATCCTACAAGAGTTATACATGCCGTGCATTTGAGGTCTGCCAGTATTGAATCTGAAGACATATTGCCGGATCGCGTCGCGACTGATTTCGCGTGAGGTATGCCCATAGCCTTTCGCGTTCAAGTTCGCCACCGCACTATATCGTGGCACTATATAGGGGCCTGCAGGATCGCGAGAATCGGACGTGCATACGGCCATTGCGCCTCGCACGCCCGATGTCACTAACGTAAGGCAGGTGCCAAACTTGTCCGCTTCAGCCGGTTCGTTCGATTCATAGGTCAAATCACTACAGTGTCCAACAGCAAAGGTGGTGGACCGAATGAACCTGTTGAACAGGATAAGTCTGGCACCACATGAGTCGTCGGACGCACATTTGACGTGCGCGGCGCAATGGCCGTACGCAGGTCCGACTCTCGCGAGCAGGCCCCTATAACAACCTCAATGAGCCAGGCATATATCAAGCGTTTCATCGCCTTGCGATTTTCTCGACAGGACAACTGTTACAAGTCCATCGCATGCGATCACCTTGCAATACAGTCGTGATAGTTTCACGCGACTGATCGCTGGCTAACTATCACAACAGAACTGCAAGATGACCGGCACGCAATGAAGTCGTAACAGCTGCCATGTCGGAGAACGATGACGATGGAATCGCGTGATGTCTGCCCGGCCCGATAGCGAAGGCGAAGCCTAGCGCCGACACGGGCAGACTGGCGCGAAATGACATGTCAGCGTACAGCCGTGAGCGAGCGAGCCGTGCGGCTGCACGCCCGGCGATCGTTATCGATTTCAGCGCGCGCCGCTGTCGACCACATGTCGCTCGTCGTCTGTCGCTGTCTGTCGTTGCCAAGCATTTGCAGTATTTTCTCCGATAAACCTCGTCGTAAGATTTTTTCGCCCGAATGCTTCTTCACATCAGGTGTTTCTGTTCGTCTTTCATCACTATATTAGCTGTGTTATACTTTTCTAACTAATCCAAATCTAAAAACCTTCTTTGCATTCAATAACTATAGCAGCTAACCGCTTTTCTCTCTATTTACTAATAACCACTTTCCTATTTCAATCTTCCTAGAGGACTTTTTCTCTGCAATTTTCAAATTTCACTCGTTTCATCTATTCTGTGTGTTGTTAGTTGTTTAGACGATGTGTGCAAAGCGGGTGCGAATCTCTTACTTTCGAAATAAATGATGGGTGATTTTATTCAACTAACAAGTCTTAGATTTACTGTTATGATTGTGAGACTGGGAGAACCGCCTTGCACACATTGCCAAAGGAAGCATAATCGTGTTGTTGGCAAGTTCATACATGTGATCCAAACAGTCTAGGATTTTTTGCTATTCCGAAACAGAAAAGAACGAGTTTAAGCTTGGACAATATATGTAAAATGGCCGAGTCTCATTGTCTCAGAATAGATGAATGTTCTGCACTTACAGCCTAGTAACCTTATCAGCCGTTGAAATATGTCTACAGTCGCTTCATTTCATATGATCATGTGTGCCATTGCACACACAGTCCACTTTGGCGTCCTCATCCTGGATTTGCAATCGCAAAAATGCAAGAGACTTACCGATTGTTATCGATTACATCAATTTGAGGTGACTAGTAACTAAAAAGGAAAGAAAATGCTAAGAACACCTTGGAAACACTTACCTGAAGGCTTGTTTATCCCACGAATCCAGGATGGGGACGCCAAAGGTGAACTGTGTGTGCAATGACACACATGATCATATGAAATGAAGCGACTGTACGTTGCCAAACTCTTTTCCGTACAAAACGTCTCCGGGCGAGCAATTTCAAGATATAGAGTATTTCATAGTGTTTCCTTCTATTTTCTCTACCTAGATCTATCGAATAATGTTAAGACCAGAATGGTAGTTGTTAACGGTTGAACTTCAGATACTTCACATATTAGCATGGTAATTTCGCGCTCATAAGGGCAATGCAGTAATTTCTTATAGCTGTTCAAATAAAAATCCTTCTTCCAAATCAATTTATTTCATTAAACCTGAAATTTTTGTTTAGGTTCTGTATCAGCTAGCCTAAAGACATTCATGGAAAAAGCGTTCTTTCCGTAGGGTATTCTGTAAGGCCCCGTGCATATCTCACGCGATTTCAAGATATCTGGAAATTCCCGGATGTTTTCAAAATAAATATTGAAGTGTAGAAGGGCATTGTGTGCATAACATTCGTAAATTGAAAATTCTCGGCGCTATTCGGATATCCGCGTAGCAAATTTTTTGTTTGTTTGGACGCTCAGCTAGTCCATGGAGTTACCTGACATGCCAATCACGAGAATTAGAATGTTTTGGCAGTAAACGCCCCATGCGGTTACGGTAGGCTTACGATAGAGGGCCAAGATTACGGGTTAGCTCGAAATTTCGCCCATATCATATTCTTCGCACTGTAGCGCATTTTCTTGGGTTACGGCGGCTACGGGCAATGACTCAAAATTTCAAATTGTCAAATATTAGAGTGATCAAAAGTAATGGAGCACTTTGATTTTTTAAACATTTTTCAAGAACTCTTTCTGATTAGCTATGAACAACCAGCAGTTCGAAAGCTTTTGTATAAAGTGACCTTCACAGGTTATCTTTACAGCATATTGCACAGCACCTCACCGACATTTCTTCGAGCGGCGCTTCAAAGAAGTCAGACAGACTGTTTTGAGCGCCATCCGAATTTGTGCTGCTGCACCCGAAAGTCCCTCGACGTATGGTTTACTATTCGAAAGAGCCTTCCAAGCTCTTTCTAATGATAACTTCGATATTCAATAATTGTCCATTATTTCATACAAAAAAGGCACTTTATTCGAAAAAGTGCGGTGTTTGGCGCAGATTTTCAGACTAAAATTCATGTTTAGGCCCACAATTTTTTGAAAATGAGAAAAGTCGAAGTAATTTGCATATGTATGGATAGGGCGTAAAAAGCACTATCGGAAAGCAACTGTTAAGCTTGAGCTTATTTGATTACCTTGATGAAAGAATAAGTAGTATGTCTCCTGATACCCAATGCTATATCTTCTGTTCTACAGCCTTGGGACCACCGAGCTATCGTGGATTTGGTGACAGTCCCCTCACCAATTGCAGCGCAGATATCTTTGGTAGGCTCACTTATTCTACTGCGGCGCTGCTGCTCATAATTCAAAATTACTTGAATTTATGAGCTTTAATTTTAAGCGCTAAAAAAATAACGCCATGTGACAGTGCCCAACTATAGACCTCTATCAGAAGGTTTTGTTATGTACTAACATCTGCCAAATCTTGGACTTCCAACTAGCCTTTCTATTTGAGAAAACTGCATTGATTCTCTAGGTGCCCCATTACTTTTGGATCACCCTAATAGTTGCTCTGCTTGAAACATTGCTTGGAGGGGTGTTTCAGCCTGCTGATTATAAAAATCATGCCTTTTTACATCTTCGCTTTTGACTGAGTTACGAAAGATGTACTATAGGCGAGCGGCAAATCGTAAATCAGATCAAAACCTTGGGGAAGGAGGTTGTGGAGGTTATCTGGCGTGCTGAGCAAAATGTCGCACTTCTTTTGCGTAATAGCCTTCTCGCGGGGTTTTTTTTGTGAGTCCTGAAATGGCCCAAAAATTATGAAAGCTTTTTATGATTTTTAGGTCAATTGCTTCATTTCATTGACAAGTGTCCATTTTTGCATCGCGAGTAATGTTAACTCCATGTAAAAGGCGTGTAGCGAGAGAACATGATATGCGTAATCAGCGTGTCGAAAACCCTCTAGGCAGTTCGAATTTGATATCTCGATCCATTCACTGTATACCCATCGTAATTCAAGAAAAAGTGCCTACTGCGGTGAGAGAGGGGAAGGGAGAGACGGAAAAACTCTTTCTGAATCGCTCGCTATAGCAGGGTCCTCTGATTGGTCCTCCCCTCATCTTCTGCGATTGGCCGGATTTGGGCAGGGTGAGGCAGTGGAAAACCGAACGTGTTGCGCCCGCGTATGCTCAATCTGTTCATCTATCGTGTCCAGCAGATGGCAGTTATCGGAATAAAAATAGAAATATGACTAGCTTTAAATCCGGAGGTTCTCTGCTGGCTGCAAATGCAACTCACCCACTTTTTCAGCGGTGCCGCACGCGGCGAAGTGGCGTCATGAATGATCAAAATGGCCGAGGGCCGGCAGCGGCAGAGTGCGTTTAGGGTAGAGGAATACATGTCGCCTAAAAGTGTGGTTCCTTGCCGGCATCTGCAGACAGACCACGCAGCCATACATATTACAGACATTGTACTAAATTTTACCAGCTGTGCGTGGGGTGGAGCCTGTACGCGACATATATTCCCTACCCGCGCCTGAATTTGAGACAGTGCATCGCGGTTTGTGGTAGTCCCGCTGCCATTTACCTGCGTCTCTTTTGAATCTGCTGATGACCCTTACAGAACCCCTACAGCTATAACTGAGTCGTCGACCGCATTTACTGGCTGTAGATTGCGAAGCACGAGCAGCGCGATTGAAACGTTGCGAGCAGACTTGTAGCGAATTTGGTACAAGCGTTGCCGCGCGGCGCTGCTCCGCAATCAGCGATCAGTCCGTGCGTTCAGTGAATCGACGGTAATTTGCGAATTTTGCTAGAGCACCCAGCACTCATTAGGATTACTTTTATGACTTTTTGTCCTTGTGACATAGCGTTCTCAGGTCTTTTAATCTTGGAATGGATACTTGCCATTCCACACTTGTTGACCAAAAAAATGAAAATCGCGGATTTTGCTAAAACTTCCTCCAATGGGGGGGGGGATGTTTGCACGCTAATCACGGATATCACATTTATCTCGCACAATAATGCCGCCTGTGGAGTTACGGTAGGACTACGGTAGGGGGTCAAATAACGGATTTGCTCCATACTTCGTCCAGGGAGGTCAGCACGCTGAACTATAATTTATTTATTTTTTACGGTAGCGCCATTCTTGTTGGTCACAGTGAGCGTACGGTAGATGGCTGGAAATTCCTAATTTGGTCGAAACTTTGCTTAGAGGGGTTGAGCATGCTGATTATAAACATCATGCTGGTTCGCTGCAATAGCGATTCACTGCGTGAGTTACAGTGTATGAAAGAACAAGTTTCCCACTTTTCTGCCCATCTGAATTCCAAAAACCCACGAAAAGGCTTCATCATGCGCAACGAGCAGGTTCAAGTGATTCATCACAATCCCTGCACAAAGTGTCGAGCATCTACTACTTTAGCCACCTATCGTATACCTATCGTAATTCCGCGAAAAGGCTCCGGAACGAGAAAAGAATTGTATTCATGATCAGCATGCTTACGTCTTTGGCAAAGTTTTGAACAATACGGAACTTTCAACTATCCACCATATATAGAGTAATCCTACCGTAAACTCCACAAGGTGGCACTACCCGAAATGAATGCGAATTTAGTAATCAGTGTGCAAAGTGACTCTTCCCCCCTCCTCCTCCAAAGACGAAGTTTGGATTAAATCTTGTGAATTTGACCCTTACCGTAATCTTACCCTCTATCAGGTGACACTACTGTGCGAAATGAATGCGATATTCATGATTGACATGCAAAGTAACCTCGCTCCCCACGCTGGGAGGAGTTTTAGCGAAATGTGGTTTCCAATTTTTTTGTCAATTAATGTGGAATAGTGCTCCATGAGGAAGATTTGGTGCCAAAAAATTCACAAGGGAAGGCCTTCGGTCGAAGTGAAAAATCACCTGTTATCTAATCAGAACGTATCCGATGATTTGCGTAAACTGTTTCTTTTATAGTCGAATAGAGTTTCCGCTCAATATGGTGTGTTCGCGGTGTCGGGAAAATAGGTAAAATTAGCGCTTGAACATGACCACCAAAAATGTCGGCATTTTGTGCGTGCAAATGGCCGGCGTCGCAGGCGCAGGCTATCCGCTCAGCACAAATTCTGCCGCTTTCGGCGCCGCAAGCACGGTATATTGAGCAGAAAATCTACTCGACTGTGACGCTTCGACTTTCTTCTCTACTTCATATTCATTCTTATAACTTAGATAAGGAAAGCGGATAACAAACTATAGTTGTATATTCTTTGTGTCACGGTCCTGCTCGATGATCGTTTCAATCTCTCGAAAATTGTGGTAGCTCGTTCTGCTTTTCTTGTTGATAACAATCCTGGAAGTAAATGAGGAGCACAGTCAATCAGCCCCTCATGTTCTGCTGCATGAGCCATAAAACCTCCAAGTTCCAGGTCTGATATGTATGGCAGCTCTGAAGAGGTACAGGCAGCCGGCGACGGAAACCGTAATGCGCATGGGTCCCGCCAAGAGCCGCGACGCGCCATTATGCGGATTCATAGGCCTCCTCCGCCGTTGCCGGTCCCCAAAAGGACCTACACTCGAGTTACGGTTCAAAATTTAAGTTTAGAAAAATTGGTGTAGAGGAGTATTTTAGTAATCTTAAAATCTGTATACTTGACATGCCCAACACAATCATCGCTACAAAATTGCACGCTAACGCCATTCGTGGGTGTGGGGTAAATGGGTAGGAACGCTGCGCGTAACTTAGTCTACGGGTGTTCATCATGCTAGGTACGACGATATCATTAGCGCCCAAAGAAATTTTTTGATTTGGCATCGAGTAAGTACCATCGAGTCGCTGACCGCACAGATTGAACGTAATTTCGGAACAGGCGGCACGCAGCCAAAGGCATCATTGCGTATCGCTATGTACAAGTCGTACTGTCGTGACATTTTAGCCGCCACGCGTGCTCTGCCTTCCAGTCTGCGCCAATCGGGATCAGGCCGAACCGTTGGCCGAATTTGTGCACTCGCAGCGGCAAGGGTTTGAGCAGCATACGCGCGCTGTCGCAGAGAGCAAAGAGATTGAGGAGAGAGTAGAATAGCTAGCCGACTCAGTACCCTCCCGAGGGTAGAGGACTATATGTCGCCGAAAAAGGGCGGTCCATGCGGTCATTTGCGACAAATGCGCACCCTTGTACATGCGCGGACATGCGTTCCTGCAGGGAATCCGCTCGGGACTCCTTCAAATTCGGCGACTTATAGTCCTCCACCCCCCTCCCGACACGGACTCCCGACATGCCAATTTGGTCTGGTTGGGATTGGGGCAGCCTGTACGGTCAGTCTGTGCGGTCGACACTCGAGGATATATGCTATAGTTAGAAGCGAATATTCTTCGAATATTCGTATTCAACTAATTCATTCGAACTATAAAAGTCGAATATTCAGGAAAGTCCTGTATTTGATTCGAGTAGTGGAATACATGAGAAAGAATTTATTCGAATATTTGTTTATTCGGCGAGTCGAAAAAACAACTTATTCGAAATCTTATTTGAGTATTCGAATGCTCAAATAAAATTTCGATTAAGTTGTTTTCTCGATTCGTCGAATAAACAGATATTCGAATAAAAGTCTTTCTCATGTATTCGACTACTCAAATAATCGAATAAATGCACTTTCCTATAATTGACTTTTCTAGTTCGAATGAATCATTTAAATACGATTATTCGAAAAATATTCGGTTCTAGCTATAATATATGCCCCACTTGGAGCACCGCCAAATCGAAACGATTTAGCGCTCAGCCAATCCAGATGCTCCAGAAACGAGGAGATTGATAATACAGTAAATACAAGCAATTTGATGTACCCAAGTTCTGCCCAACAAATCTGTAGCTTAGCGAAGAACGTGTATGATGCTGCTTAAGTCTTGTGCAAGTACACACTGATTTGACTTAGGGCCGCATGCACTAACCTTTCCGCTGGGGAGGGGATCGCAGCTTCAGAAGAAAGCTTCATATCCTGAAGCTCCGGATATCTGGATTTCACGCTGTCTACCTGTCCGTAAGTACTCTCACCATCCTTCACTATAAACATATTGAGCAGAAGCGAGAAGCTGTACAAGCCGCATTTTCCAGCTTTTTGTAGGATCCCCTGATGATCCCTGCGGGACGAACATCTATTCTTCAAAGTCATTTTTCTTTCTCCGAAGTCAACGAAAACCTTCCAAAGTTATGCTGAACATCTAACACAACAGTTCTAAGCATGTTGCTGATGAGAACAAATGAATTTTAGAAAAATCGAATTTTTCGGTATATCCCAAATTTCGACCTGTGGATCATCGAAAAAAACATGACTTCAAAACATCATTTGTTCTTATCAGCAACATGCTTAGCACTGTTGGGTTAGATATTCTGCACAACTTTGGAAGTTTTTCGTTAACTTCGGAGAAAGAAAAATGACTTTAAAGAAAAGCGCCGGGGATCGTCAGGGATCATACAAAAGCTGGAAAATGCGGTTTGTACAGCATCTCGCTCCTGTTCAACATGTTCATAGTGAAGAATAGTAGGAATACTTACGGATAGGTACACAACGTAAAATCCAAGTATCTGGAGTTTCAAAATATGAAGCTTTCTTTTAAGCTACGATCCCCTCCCCGCGGCCATGTTAGTGCATGCGGCCCTTAGGTAAAGGAACGATACCCTCGTAAGCGCCAGCACCGGTAGACTACTCTTCGTTATCGATCAGTATCGATGTTGCCGATTTTTGCAAAATTTGAGAACTGAGCTTGTAGTTGGCACAGTAAGTGAGCATGCTGATAACAGATACCACATCGATTCTCAGATTTGATCCCTTATACTGGTTTCATCAATTTTGCCAAAAAAATAGGGGGGGGGGGAAGGGAGGCGGGAAGGTGAGCATGCTATTTACGTTCAACAATTTTTGTAAATACCCATCACTTTCAACGAATTTAGCTATTTTCTGCTCACCTCGATCCCGGAGCTGGAGTTGGTACTGTGCGAGGGTAAATGAGCCTGGTGATCACAAAACACGGGATTGACAAATACTTTTTGTATCATAGCTATTTTTTGTTTGATGTAAATGACGCAGAAGTTTGGTGATATTTTTGTTAGTGGACTTATCTTTCCGTTATCTGGAAGCTGCAAAATGCATGTCGTGATCACCCTCATTTTTTTCTATATCCTGGCAACTCATTCTTAGAAAGAATGATCGCTAGTACAAATTAAAAAAAAAACAGTTCATTTACTCTCTGTCTCATTAAAAATGGGGCGGGGGGTCTCAGGGCTTGGTCCCGCGCGGCCGCTTCGCTTGAGCTCTGCATCTCTTTAACGGGCCTGCTCTCTAGTCATTTTCCCACGCTTAACTAGCGAAGCTCGGTTTTTACCTTTTAAGTGTGGGAAAATAATGAGAGAGAGCGTGCTCAAGAAAAAGGTTCAGAGCCCAAGCGGGACCCTAGCTGCACGAGCGCCTATCACTTTTATAAACTGAAGGAGTGGAAAGAGTAAAGTACGTTTGTGTGTGCTCAGTGGAGATGTTTATAATGCATCTAGTGTTACTCGTGGGACAATTTATCTAGTTTTTTACCTTTTTTCCCTTGCTGTGTTGGGGTTGAACATATCTTGGCTAAATAAATGAATCAAAATCTCTTATTTGCACTCAATAATTCTTTTTTTTAGTGGAGATGAGTTATCCAGCCAAAATACTGTTGATCAAGTTGGTAAAGCAGCATGAAGAACTCTGGAATTCGAGATCGCCTCATTATTCAAGAGCAGATATCAAAAAGCAGGCTTGGGAGGAGATTTCTGCAAGAATGGCAGCAAACGGCTTTGAGTCTAATAGTAAGAGAAACACTATTTTCCATTGCTTGCCTTGACTGATTAATATGCGTTTTAGTTGGAAGGCTAAGAGTTATATGGAAGAATCTTCGTGATCAATGGAAAAGGAATCTCAGTTTGAAGGCGCAAGCGCCTCCGGAGAAGGAATGGTATTTCCAACGAAGAATCAACTTTCTAGCGGAAACCTATGATGATGGGTGAGTTCATGACAAGATGTATTTAGTTTAGAGGGAAACTGCGGATTTCGAGTTATATCTCATCATGCGCATAGAAGCTCAATATGCAAAAGAAGTTTCTTTCATGAGGCTTGATTTGGGAAAACCCTTGAAGTTTTGCGCTGCGGCAATTGAGTTAGCTTTCATGCAGTGCCTAAATGGGAAAAATCTACAAATTATCGCTTTATTTTCTGCGCATTGAATGTGAAATGCAAAAGATCTCACGCCTTGGATTGCTCTCAATTATTAACAAATTAGTAGCAATTAGCGGTATTATCACTTTATTCGAGTACAATATTATAGTTTGATGCATAATTTTTGTACCAAAATTTTTGAAATTCTGTTACTTCATTCAGCTTCGATGAAATCTTCTGATTTGATACATAGAGTAGTGAAATCAAATTTTGCGCTTTCTGTAGGCACTCGAGCCAAAATTCTTTGATAACATATGGCAGCGATATAAGGTGACTAAGCGAAATACCCAAAAAATGGTTTTTCGATTTTTAGTCATCAAAATTGCTAACACGTCTTCTAGAATTCAATTTTATTCTTGGTCCAAGTTTTATGACATGCTCTTTTAACTAACAATCAGAAAAGTTGGTAGTGACTGGATGTCCTTGCAAAAAGTTACGGATTTCGATTTTGAATTGACTTATCGATCTTGTGTTAGACTGATTTTCTAAGTACTATAAAATACTACTTTTGATGTACATAACAAAGAACGTATCATATAAGTTGCTTAGTTTCTTCAAGAATTTTTAAAATTATTTTTTTTTTCAATTTTTTTTTGGTGCAAGAATTGTGCATCAACCCAATAGTATAGCGCTCTCTCATTCTCTTGAACGTATCATATGTTGATTAGTTTCTTCAAGCATTGTTTGAATAATTTTTTTTTCAATTTTTTGGTGCAAGAATTGTGCATCAACCTAATAGTATAGTGTTCCCTCATTTTCTTATCAGTTTGAAAAGATCATAGCGGAACGAACACTAACTTTGCAGACTTCTATCTCTTCTTGTTGTAAAGTCCATTTTATGGTTATGGAACAATTACGCTAGAAGGAAAGGCTCATTGGTCACAGTTGCTCCGAGTATTTTTCATAAATTACGTTGATTGAACAAATCTCTTCAGATTAGAGTCTTTTTCGAACCAAAACTCAGTGCTTGTAGGTTGTATGAAAAAAATTATTCTAAGCTCGCATTGCTTACCTCATAATTATGAGAGGCTGGCTCCGCGTTCTTGGATAGGACAACGCTTTGTGGCTCGCTTATTTTCAAATTTTATATGTGTGGAAGCAAAAAAAACAGTCACTCTATTTCAGCGGACGGGGAGGATTGATATACTGCAGTCATAATGATGATAATGATGACGATTCACCGGATATGTGCGAAGCGCCCAATGATTCCTTATATAGCGTTAAACCTGACGTCTACGTCTACGATAGCCTGGAAAAAGACTATGCTACAGAAGGAAGCTTACTTCTTGGTAGCTATCACCAAAACAATTCACCGGCACCAAACATCGAGCCAAAAATGGAAAAGCAAGATGACGGGCTTGTTTGTGGTGAAACTTTACTGAATGTCATGGAAGAGCAAGTGAATGGAGGAGGATCGTCTAGTCATCCAGTAAATTCCGCGAGACCTACTACTTCCTCTACTCCGGACTCCGGACCGCGTGTGAAACGATCGCGAAAGGAGATCCGAAGCGAAGGTTAGTCGTCTTCACTCATTGTTCTTTTTTATACTAAACACTACAAATTTGTAGAGCTGGCTTGTATCTCTGCATTTTCCGAATTTTATTCTAAAAATGATATAATTGCAGGTTCCACCGACTCAAAGATTCAAGAAAGTACCAGTTCAAATGGTAGTTTTTTTTTGAAGCTTTGTTTATTCTATTGTGTTAAGTTGGTTCAGAAGTTCTGTCGCGCTATTTTAAAAACGTAACTCCTTGTTGTCACAATGATCTTGCTTGTCATGATTTTTTTAGAAAGGGAAAATTGTGCGCTTTCTAATCCTCTTTCAAGAGATAAAAATGGAGAAGGAAATTTTTGAGGTTTGGCTATTTGAGAAGCCCGTTGAAAATCTGAATAATGCGCAATAACATCTGAAACAGTCCGGAACATGAGTTCTCTTACATACGTGATGGAGCCCTTCTTTGAAATTTATATTTCTGGAGAAAACGGCACAAAATGGTATTAACAATTTCATTTTAATTTTTCTCGAAAATCTAACTTTTCACAGAAGAACTCGATCAATGCAAACTTTGCTCATTTAGAAAGGAAAGGTCAGAAAACTCATGGTACTGACTATTTCGGATTTTATAGCATAAATTCTAGGGTTTCAACGGGCTTGAATTGCTGAACTTCAAAAGACCTCTTCCTTCTTTTTACCTCTGTAAATAAATTATTGAAGAGCAATCAAGAAGCTGTCAAAACATACGTGATTCAATCCTTCCAGTAGAATTGAAGCTATGCAATAACATTGTGGCAAAAAGAAACAATTTCTGGGAATGTTGACAGAACTTTTGGTCCAAGCTAACATTTTCAAAGTCTTGTTGCTCCCGAGAACTAAGCAACATTCCAGTACAATTGTCACCACGCGCGTCATCGAAAGAGCCAGATAATGGTGTCAGTCAACAGTCCGAAAACAAGTCAGAAAATAAAGGAGACAAATTTGATAAATATGGTGAGTTTGCTCGACGTTTCCCGGTGGTTTCCATCCATATTCTGTCTGCAAAGTTCTCCATCAAATCAGGTTTCCATTCAGCTGCCTTTGTCGCGTCAACGTTGAGAGAAATGCCCGAAGATGAAGCCAGAAGGCGCATGAAAGAGATGACTATGCTTCTTCTGGAGGGTTTGGACTGACATATCAACTCATGGATCCTATCGTTTTGTCTCATATCATTACCGGTGACTTTCATGAAATATAGAAATTCTCTCTTCTTGCATACAATAATGAATTGTATTCTCGGTTAAATCATATGAGCAAGGAAATAAAGAGGGACAAACTGTTGTTTTTGCTATTTGTCGGAAGCTGAACTTCAAGGTATTTTGGAGCCGATCTGATTGTAGATCAAAGCATATATACAGAGAACTGGCGTACCGAGGGGGAAGGGGAGCGGGGAGGGCCCCCACCCCCGAGAATGGGTCGCGTCGCGAAATTTTTGAAAGTTACCTACATTAGTTATAAAAATGTGAAAATGACTTGTTTGTACTTACAAATAATTAAAATAATTTTTTAAATCTTTCAAAAATTCATTTTTTTTATCCTTGCATCTTCCCGTTCACACGGGGTCTGCTACTCTCGTAAGTCTCTTCCATTCTTCACGGTTCGATGTTTGGTTCTCATCTAATCCAAGCTCTCTTAGGTCTGATTTGATCTTGTCCATCCATCTCATTTTAGGTCTGCCTCTTGGCCTCTTTCCGGGAACATTCAGTGACAGGGCGAGTCTTGTGATATGGCTTTCTTCTCTTCTACTTACATGTCCGTACCATCGTAGGCGCTTCTCTTGTAGCTTCTTTATGATCGGAGCAACCTTCATTGTACTTCTGATGGTGTCGTTCGAGACGTGATCTATCATGGTGACTCCAGTGGTCCATCGCAGCATTCTCGTCTCTATTACACCTAGTCTTCGTTCGTCGTTGCGTGTGCTCGGCCAGCATTCGCTACCATAGAGGGCAGTTGGACGGATTATTGTACGGTATATCTGGGACTTGAGCTTCCGAGGTATTCTTCTGTCGCACAGGACTCCTGTGAGGCTTCTCCACTTTGACCAAGCCGCGTTGGTCCTACCGAGTATCTCTTCGTGAAGGCTTCCATCTGCGGCGATACGACTTCCTAGATACTTGAACGTGGTGGTCTTCTTGATCATCGTGTTGCCAACTCGAATGGTTCCTGGGGTCTGGGCTCCAAGCTCCATGTACTCCGTCTTTACTGTGTTGAGTCTTAAGCCATGCTGTTCCAACTGAGTCTTCCACATCTGTACATCGTCTTCTAGCTCATTCCTGCTTCTTGCCATCAGAATCACGTCATCCGCATATATCACAGCCCATGGTGGTTGACGTATGAATCTACTGGTTATCGCATCCATGACTGTGATGAAGAGTAGTGGCGACAGTACAGATCCTTGATGCACACCTGCTTTTATCGGGAATTCTTCTGATCTTCCTGCTGCTGACTGCACGTAGCTGGTCGCATTCTTGTAGATCATCTTAGTCCACTGCACGTACTCTTCTGGGACCATATGCTTTCGTAACGACCACCATATGATGTCATGCGGTACCTTGTCGAACGCCTTCTCCAGGTCGAGGAACGCTGCGTGCAGCTCACATTGTTTTTCCCTGCTTCTCTCCATCACTATTCTGGCGGTATGGATGGCGTCTGTCGTGCTGCGGCCTTTCACGAATCCACATTGATTGGATGCCAACTCGATGATGTTTCGGAGCCTCGTCTCTAGTATCCTTTCGAATATCTTCAACGTTTGGCTCATAAGTCGTATAGGCCTGTATGTGGAACATTCAGCTATATCGCCTTTATTCTTCCATATCGGTATCGTCGTACTTCTACACCAGTCGCTCGGCATCTTTCTGGAGTCTACTATTCGATTCAGCAGTCGCGTCAGCCATGTAACTCCTGTCTGTCCGCACTTCTTCCAGAAATCGCTCGGGATGTCATCTGGACCTGTTGCCTTGCCGTTCTTTGTTTTCATTATGGCGATTCGAACTTCTTCTTCCGTGATGGCCGGTACTGGTCCATGTACAGTCTCAGCCGCTGCAGCTGATGAGATTCGTACCTTGTGGATGCCGTTTCTGCGAAGTGCTCTCTCCATCTCTTGTTGATCTCTTCAGGTTTCCTCAACACTCTTCCATCTACATCTTTGATATTGCAGAAGTGTTCCACGTCTTTTGAGGCGTTTGCTCTTCTTCTTGCGAGCCTGTAGATCTCACGTTCACCTCCGTGACTGTGCAGCTTCCTGTATAGCTCCTCCACGTACGCTTCTTTCGCTTGTTTGACGCTCCTTTTCGCAGCTCGTTTGGCGTCTACATATGCCTGCCGCGTTTCTTCTGATTTCGTCTTCTGCCATATTTTGAAGGCTGTCTTCTTCTTCTTGATCACGGACTGCACGTCATCATTCCACCACCAAGTTTCCTTATCGAGTTTTGTTCTTCCTGGCTTCGTACGTCCTAGTAGATTAGTGGCTATCCGATGGACGTTGTTCTTCAGATTCTTCCAGGAGTCTTCTGGCTCTTCTTCTAGCTGTGGTAGGGCGGATTCCATGGCTGCTCTAACTTCGTCGTTGTCTCTGAGCTTCCACCATTTGATGCGTGCTACTTGCTCTGTCGTTGTTCTTCTTTGCCTGTCGATTGGAATATTCAGATCCAGAATCAGTGGTCGATGTTGTGGTATGCAGTCTTCACCGGGTATGACTTTGCTGTTCTTCACATACTTGAGCTCGTCTCGTCGTACAGCCCAGAAGTCTATTTGTGATTTCCGATCTCCACTGGCGTACGTGATGAGGTGATTAGGCTTCTTAATGAAGTATGTGTTTGCTAGCGCTAAGTCATGTGCCGTGGCGAATTCCAGGATACGCTCTCCTTCTTCGTTGCGTGTTCCGTATCCGTGATTACCGTGACATTTACTAGCACCGTATCGTTGTTCACCGACATGACCGTTTAGATCAGCACCAATCAGTAGCATCTCGTCGTTTGGTATCAAGCTTGTGTAGTCGTCAAGTTGATTCCAGAATTCATCTTTCTCCATCTGTGTGCAACCCACTTGAGGTGCATAGGCGGTTATGATTCGGAGAATTTTCTTCCCGGTATCTACTCTGATGCACATAATTCGATCACTTATTCGGTCCACGCCAGCGATTCTACTCCTTAGTGCTTCTGAAACCACTATACCGACGCCGTTTCTGGTGTCACTCGATCCTTTGTAGAGAAGCTTGTAGCCGTCTCCTATATCCCTCGACTTCTCCCCTTTCCACTTTGTCTCCTGAATGCAGGCGATGTCAACTCTACGTCTTCGTAGAAGATCAGCCAATTCGCGATGTCGTGCTGTGAGTGATCCTACGTTGATGGTGGCTAGACGTAACCTTGAGGACTTGAATACTCGCCTATGGTGAGCTAGCTTCTTCAACCGTCCCCGCTCACCCTGCTGAAACGGTAACCCTAGCATACTGTTCGCACTAGTCGGGCTCGAATGCGCGTCGCCTCCGGGGAACGCCCTAGCTTTTACTCGAGATATCCGATGAGACATACAAAAGCATCTGATGCGACGGGGTTTCTTCTTCAACCGGCTTGTCGCTTGCTTCCTTTGGATGAGCAGCCTGACGCTGGAATCGTGGGCAGAGCTTTTTGCCAAAGAAATTAGGCCCTCCGCGGAATCGAACCTGTGACCTTCCTCGCCGTAGTCAAGGGCACTCTCGGCCAGCTCTGCCCAAAATTTCATAGCCTTATAAAAAAAAATTTTTCCGGGGGGCGTGACTAGCGCCACGCCCCCATTTTCTGGAATTTTAAGGTTAGGGGAGCGCAGAAACCTTGGGAAGCATACAAAAAATTTTTTCGGTGCGTTGTCAAGCAGTGACTGCCGCGTGGGACCGCTTGACACACTATGTTTGTCAATGCTTAAATTCTTGTTAAGATGGCCATTATCCCGAAATAAACTCACTCCACAAGCTGTATTTTGCACTGAATCTAGTGAACTACCTTTTTTGTCAGCCTTTCAGATCTATTGTAGGTTTACTGTACAGTCGCTTCATTTCATATGATCATGTGTGTCATTGCACGCACAGTTCACCTTTGGCGTCCCCATCCTGGATTCGTGGGAGAAACAAGCCTTCAGATAAGTGTTTTCAGGGTGTTCTTAGCATTTTCTTTCCTTTTTAGTTACTAGTCACCTCAAATTGATGTGATCGATAACAATCGGTAGGTCTCTTGCGTTTTTGCGACTGCAAATCCAGGATGAGGACGCCAAAGTGGACTGTGTGTGCAGTGGCACACATGATCATATGAAATGAAGCGACTGTAGATGGCGGTATGCATAATTATAGTTGAAAAATGTGGGCTGGTCCGTGAAAGGCCTTGGTCCCAGAAGGCAGACAACCAAATATCTGCATGGTCGTCAATGTGTTAGTACTGTCTTGTCATTGAGTCTTTCAAAAAACTTTAAGTATTATTTCGTAAAGCTGTCTTTAGCTTAGATTTACAGTATGCAGCGAGTTACAGTCCTCTCTTCATTACTGTAGGATTACAGTAGCAACTTTGAAGAGGATTTTGCGTCATTGAGGATCACATTTCACCTTTAGAGAAGGACTAAAGAGGCTGGAAACTCTTATACTAGGCTAATCAAGGTCGATGATCCAAATATGAAATTTGCACTTCACCGTAACGTTTTTATCATAAATTATGCCAGATATAATGTAACGACAGATTTCTGATATTCGTCGAAAATTTAATTAGGTCATTCAAAAAGCTGTGCGAAAAGTGTAGTGAAATGTAGTGAAATCAGCATAGAAAAATCATGTATGGAAACCTTGTTGCACAAATTTTCAGATTTTTATGAGATTTTTTTGTTGAACGTCTTATCTCACCATGGCGCCGAATGCTGCGAGTTTGTACAGTAATGTAGGGAAGGTCAGTAATTTGCTCCATACTGTCATCTGAGCTGAAGCCACCTCTACAAAACAATACCTAATCCTTCCCGAAAGATCTCTTGACAAGAGAGTTATTAACAGTCATAATGTACGCACATTTTTTGGGACACCCCCTGTACATATTCCAAATAATTTTCTGGGTCGAATGTGAATACCAGGGTTTTTTATTCCTTTTTCGAAAAATATTAAATCAATAATAGGTGATAAAGTGAATGATCTCGTAAGCCATTCTTGAAAGATGCCTAAGGAATCGTTGGATAGATTTCTACTCTAGTTTTCCACTGATTTTGTGTTTTCGACAAGCAATGGTGATTACGACACCCACTGAATAAATCATAAGTTAGCATAT